TATCTATCTATCTATCTATCTATCTATCTATCTATCTATCTATCTATATACATACATATAATTTTTTCCCTCCAACTACCCTAATACTGACAAAGGTCTCATGAATTACAAATATCATCTTTCCATGCAGGAATGTAAACAGTTCAACCTTAGTAAGTCTCTTATGATTTCTCTTTCCTGTTTACCTCTTCATGTTCCACTTGAGTCTTGTATTGGAAAGTCAGATTTTCTATTCAGCTCTGGTCTTTTCATCAAGAATGCTTGAAAGTCCTCTATTTCACTGAATGACCATTTTTTCCCCTGAAGGATTATACTCAGTTTTGCTGGTTAGGTGATTCTTGGTAACCTATCTCCTTTGCCCTCTGAAATATTATATTCCGTGCCCTGTGGTCCCTTAATGTAGAAGCTGCTAAGTCTTGTGTTATCCTGATTGTGTTTCCACAATATTTGAATTGTTTCTTTCTGGCTGCTTGCAATATTTTCTCCTTGACCTGAGAACTCTGGAATTTGGATACAGTATTCCTAGGAGTTTTCCTTTGGGAATCTCTTTCAGGAGGAGATCGATGGATTCTTTCCATTTCTATTTTGCTCTCTGGTTCTAAAATATCAGGGTAGTTTTCCTTGATAATTTCTCTTTTTTTATATTATGGTAATTTTTATTTATTTTTTTCTTGAAAGATGATATCTAGCCTCTTTTTTTGATCATGGCTTTCAGATAGTCCAATAATTTTTAAATTCTCTTTCCTGGATCTATTTTCCAGATCAGTTGTTTGCCAATGAGATATTTCACATTGTTTTCTAATTTTTTATTCTTTTGGATTTGTTTTACAGTGTCTTGATTTCTCATAAAATCACTAGCTTCCAATTGCTCTATTCTAATTTTTAAGGAAGTATTTTCTTCAGTAAGCTTTTGGACTTCCTTTTCCATTTGGCCACTTTTGCTTTGTAGGGCATTCTTTTCCTCATTGGCTTTTTGGACCTCTTTTGCCATTTGGGTTAGGCTATTTTTCAAGGTGTTATTTTCTTCAGTATTTTTTTGGGTCTCCTTTAACAAGCTGTTGACTTGTTTTTCATGATTTTCTTGCATCACTCTCATTTCTCTTCCCAGTTTTTCCTCTTCTTATCTTACTTGCTTCTCAAAATCTCTTTTGAGCTCTTCCAAGGCCTGGGACTGGTTCATATTTTTCTTGGAGGCTTTGGATGTAGGAGCTTTGACTTTGTTGTCTTCTTCTGGTTGTGTGTTTTGATATTCTTTGTCACCAAAGTAAGATAATATGGTCTGACTCTTTTTGCACTGCTTACTCATGATCCTGGCCAATTACTTGAGTTTTAAACTCTTTGCTAAGGTAAGAGTCTGCTTCCAATGTGGAGAATGTACTGTCCCAAGCTTTGGGGGTTTGTACAGCTGTTTTCAGAGATACTTCTAGGGATCTAAAAATTTTCAGTTCTTCCAAGGTGGTATGATTGTATTTCCTCTCTACCGCCACAACAAGCTCCACCATGCCAGCACTCCTCCTCGCCCCAGGACTGCCCCTCAGAACTGTGACCCAGATCCAAGCACTGGTAAAGCCAGAGATTCCTGCCTCAGCACTGGCAAAAAGATCCCTGCAATCCCCCTCTGATTAGCCACTTGATTCCCCCTCAGTCTGTGGGCCAGAAGCTCAGGAGGCAGCCGCTGCCCCAGAGGCCAAGCTCAGGGCTTGAGGCTGAGACCTAGCTCCTTGTCTCACAGACTTTCTTTGGCATTCATGGGTTGAGAAGTCTGGAAACCACCACAGCTGCCCGCGATTCGGCCCTCTGAGGCCTGCTCCAGGGTTGCTGTGGCCTGCGCGCCCATGCTGCACTGTGCTCCTCTCCCCGCCAGGCACAATATACCTTTCCAGTCAACCATCCAGGTTGTCTTGGGCTGGAGATTTGTTTCACTGTCTTTTTGTGGGTTCTGCTGCTTTAGAATTTGTTTAGAGCCATTTTTTTACAGGTATTTGGAGAGGTTTGGGGGAGAGCTCAAGCAAGTCACTGCTTTCACTCCACCATCTTGGCTCTGCCCCTCATTCTTTCCTTCTTTATCATTTATTTAACATTCTCTACACATTTTTCTCCTTTTAGAATGGTAATTGTATGTGTCTTTTTACCAAGGTTTTCCCTGTCATAACATAACTCTAAAAATGAGACAAAGGATATGTTCCTATTTTTTGATAAATTATTTAAAAAATACTTCCTGGGCCAGTTGTAAATGTTTGTTTAGACAGCCCCTTAATCTGTTCAATTCCTCAAATATGTAGGTCATAATAAGGTCTGGCATTTCACAAATACACGTCAGCATATGCATTCTCTCACTGAAAGCTTCAAATACTATTTTGTTCCCTTTTTTATGGTTCAGGAATATGAGTCACCACTCAACAGTAACATCACAGCATTCGCATTGAAGGCAAAAGTGGTCTATCCCATCAATCAAAAATTTAGGGTAAGTATTCAGAATATTATTCTGTAGAACCCCTTAGTTTGTAAATAAGCATTGATCAAATGCTTACCATTTGCCAGGCACTATCTTAGACATTGGTTATGTGGAACTAAAGTGAAACAGTACCTAACCTTGAGGATAGATGTAAAAATAGAAATATATTGATATCAATACTGATGTATTAGCGTAAGATATAGGTATATGCAGAAAAAAGCAAAGTTAGAAACAAGGTGATTTTATAGGAAAAACATTAGTTGTTGGGAAGCAGGGATAAAGGAAGGCTTCATGTAGGAGATTGTGCTTGAGCTGTGCCTTTCAAAGTGATAAATAAGGATTCTAAGAAATAGGAATGAGTTGTACAGTGAGTACAAAGGCACAAAAAGCCATGGAGAGCCATGTAGGAGGAACAGTAAGACAGATAGATTGGCTGGACCATAATGTGTGTAAATGGTAGTATTGTGTAATTAGATTAGAAAGGTCAACTGGACTTAGGTGGTGAAGAGCTTTAAATGTCTAGTTTATGTTTGATCCTACAAGAGACAGTGAGCCACTGGAAATAATTGAACAGGACCGTGATGTGGTCTGAGCTATGCTCAGGAAAATCACTTTGGAAGCTGTGTTGAGAATGGATGGGGGTGGGGAGAGACATGAGACAGAGACCAATTAGGAAATTATTGTAATAGAAGGACTCAAACTAGAATGATGGATAAGTGAATAGAGAAACACAGGCAGATACCAAAGGTATTATATCAATTAGTCAGTTAACAAGCATTTATTAAGTACTTTCTATATACTAGGCATTGTGCTGAGTGCTCAGAATATAAATACAAGCAAAATAAAAAGACAGTCCCTGCCCTCAAGAAGAAAGACAATGCATTAAAAAAAAAAAACTGCTGAAATTTGAGATGAGGAGGTTCTTAAGTGGGACATGGTGGCAAGTCTGGAGTTAGAAGTAGAGCTGCGAGAAGAGTGAAGGATAGTCAGTCTGAACCTTTCCCCAAAATGGAGGAACTCACCAATGGGAGAAAAAGGTCATAGGAATAAAGGGATGTTCAGAGGTGAGAAGGCCACACATGATGATGGAAGTGCCAAGGTGAGAAGGCATTTGACACACGATGGCAAAGTTCAGATAATCAGGACTCAGCAAACCGTGATGGTTTCACTCCACCTGTGGCCTAAGAAGAGTAATATCATGAACATAATTTTAATAAAAGGTAAATGGTGATGAGTACATAAGAGAGGTATATAAAAGGGACATGGTGTCATACCAGACCTTGGGCAAAAAGAAGATAGGACAGGTCAAAAGAGGCCAGGTTCAGGACTGTGTTCAGAGGAGAGGAATCTGATGGACAAAAGGTATCTAGACAACAAGTATAGACACCAGTTAAGAACTGGGAAAAGAAGGGGGCAGCTAGGTGGTGCAGTGGATAGAGCACTGGCCCTGAAGTCAGGAGGACCTGAGTTCAAATCTGGCTTCAGACCAAACACATGACGCTTACTAGCTGTGTGACCCTGGGCAAGTCACTTAACTCCAACTGCCTAAAAAAAAAAAAAAAAAACTGGTAAAAGAAGCACTAGATAACTGAGATCCATGAATTAAATACAGATAAGAGGGGACAAGCAGATCGAAACATTTGTGTTAGTCTTGCATAAACACTGTTTACCCTGTGCTCTGGTTTTCTGCCCCTTCTTGAGTGGGCAAGGGCTAGCAGGTCTAGTAGGCAGAGAAAGACAGCACTCTTCAGATGCTGGCTTTTCTTGAATCTATCTAAAATAAAAAAGGTTCAACCATCCCAGAGAGTTCTAACACATGACGGTTCATGGAATATCCCAATTCAGATTATAACAACATTTTACTGTATTTGCAAATAGAAACATAGAGAGAGAAAAAAGTATCAGAAAGCCCAATTTATTCCTCTTGAATTCAACAAGCTTTAGTTTTTATATTCTTCTAACATGTATAGGATGCTGTATGGGTCCCCTAGAAGACATGCAGTTTAGGGAAGACTCAGTACCTATCTTCATGGAGGTCAGAGGCTAGTAGGGAGTTAAGGTACCAAACACTAATATCTATAGTTGACAACATCAGAGGATGAGTTCAGTAGAAAGACACAAAAAAGAAACTGCTATATGAGGCAGAGTAAGATGGTCATTAGCAAGAGGAGAGATCAGAGGAAGATTCCTGAGGGAAGTGGTCTTTGTTCTGGGCTTTACAAGATGTGTAAGAATTCAGCAGGTGAAGAGGAGGTAGGAGGCCATTGTAGTCATGGCATATGGAATTGCCTGAGGAAAGACATAGAAACCAAGTCCAGAATCTATCTAAGGGACATCAGTTTTTCAGTCTGGCTGAAGCAGTGTGTCCAAGTGAGTAGTATAAGATAAATCTGGAAGAAAGGGTAGAAATGATGGCAACAAGGGCTTTATATGCCAGGCAAAGATGTCTGTCTATATTTTACAGTTTCTCTTATGTTTCCCAGTAGTTTGTTTTAAAAATATTGGAACTTTGTCCTCATGATGTAAAAATAACTTTCCAATTTGGTCAACTCAAGGAGAAAATATTAGCCCAATTATGTAATCATATTTGCTAGCTGCTTCAGTCCCGTCAGTATTATTATACAAATGCAGTTTGAAAGCCAAGGATTGAGAATGCAGTTAATAACAAACTAATTACTTCCTTTCTTGTGCTACATTGATTAATGGAGAGTTTTTTTTTCCTTTTCTGTTATCATAGCCTCTTGCAGATGGATCGTCCAATCCATCTTTGCATGAAAATTCAAAACAGGCAATTTTACCTAATCAAATGATGGAAGTTTCTCCTTCAAGTAGTCTTGGATCCCTCAGCCAGGGAGACAAAGAAGACTGCAGTTGTTCTACCAGCATGCATTCTGCCATTAGTGATGACAGATTCCATGATAGAACCTTTCTTAAGGTGAATTCTTTCCCAGAGGTGCTGACCTGTGAAAGGTAAGGACCAAGTTATAATACTCTAGATAAAGTGATACTTTAGAGTATAGGTCTTCTGCCCTATCTGATAGGGTCACATAAGAACACTGTGGTTTTATCTGTGAAGTCAGTGTGTGGATAGAATGCCAGGCCTGGAGTCAGAAGACTCCTCTTCCTGAGTTCAAATCTGGCCTCAGGCACTTACTAGTTGTGTGACCCTCGAAAAGTCACTTACCCCCATTTGCTTCAGTTTCCATCTGTAAAATGAACCAGAGAAGAAAATGGCAAACCACTCCAGCATCTTTGTCAAGGAAACCCCAAATGGGGTCATGAAGAGCTGGACGTGACTAAAATGACTGAACAACAAAAATCCATGAAGTAGTCATGTTGTTATTACTATTATTAAAATATATGATACTTCATTTACATAGTTTAATATATAGAATTTATATAGCACCTTAATTTTGCAAAACATTTTACAAATATCGTCTCATTTTATGCTCTTAATAGCCCTTGTCAATAGATATTATTATTCCCATTTTAAGGGTGAGGAAACTGAAGCAAGAAGAAGTTAGATGACTTGCCCAGAGTCACAGAGATAGGAAGTGAGATATGTGAGGCTAAATTTGAACTCTGGTCTTCCTAAGTTTCACTTCATTCACTGCACCCACCTACCTGCCTCAGGTTTATGTGAGTCTTTTCATACAGTGTTACTTGTGATAAATACTTTTTTTGATAGCGATGATGATGGTGATGCTAATGATGGCCCCTGACATATGTGCAGAGGTTTGGGATTGGAATGACTGCACAATCCCTGCCTACCGAGAGCTCTTTAAGGCAGGTGGTACAAGAAACATCATCCTCATTTTGCAAATGTCAAACCCATGGCATAGAGAAAGGAAACAACCTGCCTTGGATCGCAGTGCTTGAGACTAGCAGAGCCAAAATCAGAATTCAAATGACCTGATTCCAGACCAGGTGCTCTGGTTCTGATCTCAGAAGAACAACAAAAAGGTAATCAGTGTAGGATAGGAAATTTTGGCTTAAAACAAGGAAGAACTTTATGAAAATTAGAGTTATTTAAAAAGAGAAAATGCTACCTCTCAAAGCAATTATTTCTTTATCACTGTAGTTCTTCAGGAAGATACTAAATCATTTCTTGTTTGTGATGTTGTAGATGAGATTTCTGCTTAAAATATAAACTGATTTTGCTTCCAACTCTAGGCTATGCAAAGTGACATACCTAATAAATCCAATGATTAGGCACATAATAGATTGTAGCATATTTTCACTGAAAGTGGTCAAGTGCAATATACTTGAGTCAGCTGGTCTGATACCTTTTTCTTTCTTTCCTTTTTTCTTTCTTTTTTTTTTTTTTGGCAAGGGGCTCTCCTATCCCACATATCTCCCAATTAAAAACAAAAACCTTATAATGAATATGCATAGTCAAACAGAATAAATTTCCACATTGGCCATGTCCAAAAGTATATAATTTATTTTTGAATCCTTCACCTTATGATTGGATAACATTCTTAAGCATCTTTCTTCAGGAATTGTGATTGATCTTTGTGTTAACTAGGGATCTTACATCTTTTAAAGTTGTTTACCTTTGTATTGTTGTGGTTATTGCATAAATTGTTATCCTGATTCTGTTCACTTCACTTTCCCTTTCACAGTTTCCTGTAATGCAACAATATCCCATTATATTCCTAATTTGTTCAGCCATTTCTCAGTTGCTGGACATCCCCTTAAAGAAAAAGACATGCTATAAATATCTTTTTACATATGTATACTTTTCTTCTTTAAGATAACGTAGACCTTTTAGCGGTATCCCTGGTTCAAAAGATATATGTGCAGTAGAGTGACTTTTGGAACATAAGACCAAATTGTTTTCAAGAATGACTTGGCCAATTCACAATTCCATCATCAGTTTCTCCACAGCCCCTCCAATTGTCATCATTACCCCTCTTTTTATCAGCTTTACCAATCTGATGGATATGGGGTGGAACCTCGGATATTTTTAATTTACAGTTCTCTAACTGTTGATAATTTGGATCTTTCTTTCATGAAGTTGTTAACACCTTGGATTTCTTCCTTTGAAAAGTGACTATTTATAACCTTTGATAATTTTACTGAGAAGTCATTCTTCTTCTAATCTTTTCTGTTTATATTTTGAATATGAGGTCTTTATCAGAGGAACATAGCAGTGAGTTTTAGAGAGGGGTATTTTCTCAGCCTTTCTCTGTGCCCAAGTTCAGTCATTATAATAGCATAGCATTCAGTTTAATTTGTTTTATTGTTCTGTCCATTTATATTGTTGTAATTATTGTGTATAATATTGCATTGTTTATTTATTTTTATATGTTCACTTTTATTATGCTCAACTTGCCATGTTTCTAATTCTAGTTCTCTTATTATTATATGTTTGCCTCAGTACTCCCTCATTCTCTGTTATATAATCTCTAAATTCCTTCTTCAAGAAGCTTCTCCAGCATATAATGTCTCATCACTCCAGGGATAACAATTCCTAGCTTGGCTTCCAAGATGATTTTCAGCCTGACTTAAAAGTATGGGTTCCTGGCGGTAGATAACTTTCCTTCCTCTTAGAAATTTTGTCCTTAGCCTGCTCTTCACTTCACATCCAATAATTCTCATTCTTTGTTACTTTGTCACTATGAACGAGAAGCTATAGCTTATTAATCCTGTCCATACATTTCCCCAATGGATTCTCTCCTTTTCTCTCCCTCAGGCCTTCTCTCTCCTCCTGCCTTTTTTCACAGTTCAACCACAGATATAATTTTCAACTATTTCTCTTCTAGGGCTGATACAATCCTTTTAGACATTGTTAATATGATAGCCATTTCATTCTTCCATTTGCAGACTACACACTCTTGGATATCATGTCATAATGATCAAGACCTTTATTTTTTTATATTTTTTAATTTTTTATTAATTTATTTTGATTTATCAACAATCACTTCCATAAGCTTTTGAGTTTTAAATTTTTCTCCCCCTCTCTCCCCATCTCCCTCCCCAAGATGGCACACAATCTGATATAGGCTATACATATACATTCCTATTAAACATATTTTCACATTACTCATGTTTTAAGAAAGAATTAGAACCAACAGGAGGAACCATCAGAAAGAGGAAACAGAACACATAGAAGAAAAAAAATTAGCTAAGAGTATGCTTCAATCTGCATTCAAACTCCATAGTTCTTTCTTTGGATGTGGACAGCATTTTCCATCATGAGACCTTTGGAGATGTCTTAGATCCTTGCATTGCTGAGAAGGGCTAAGTCTATCAAAGTTAGTCATTGCACAATGTGGCTGTTACTGTGTACAATGTTCTTCTGGTTCTGCTCACTTCACTCAGCATCAGACCATACAAGTCTTTCCTGGTTTTTCTGAGGTCTGCCTGATCTTCATTTCTTATAGCATAATAGTATTCCATTACATCCATATACCACAACTTGTTCAGCCAGTCCCCAATTTATGGGCATCCCCTCAATTTCCAATTCTTTGCCACCACAAAAAGAGCTGCTATAAATATTTTTGTACGTGTGGGTTCTTTTCCCATTTGTATGATCTCTTTGGGATACAGCCCTAGAAGTGCTATTGCTGGGTCAAAGGGTATGCCCATTTTATAGCCCTTTGGGCATAGTTCCAAATTGCTCTCCAAAATGGTTGGATCAGTTCACAAGTCCACCAAACAATGCATTAGTGTTCCAATTTTCCCACATCTTCTCCAACATTTATCATTTTCCTGTTTTGTCATGTTGGCCAATCTGATAGGTGTGTGGTGGTACCTCAGAGTTGTTTTGATTTGCATTTCTCTAATCAACAGTGATTTAGAAGCTCTTTACATTTTAATGAGTAGTCATTATCTCTTGGTTTTTCTCTACCTTCTAAGTGAAGATCTGAATATAAGTCATGGGGGTAAGCAAGAGAACTCTGGACTGATCTTAAACATTATCTCAAAAGATTACACGAAATGGAAAAAAATTAAGTTGGTCAGGAAGATAAAATGAGAAGCTAATGTATGAAATGCCATGTGTGAAACACAGTGAACTTAAAGTTAGAGATTCTACGTTTGAATCTTCCTGTTTCTTCTAGCCAGTTGTATGATCTTGAACATATAACTTCATCCCTAGAAGCTCTGGATTCATCTGTAAGATGTGCATAATAATACTTATGGCACCTTCCCACTTTAGAGAGTAGGTCTAAGGCTTAGATGAGATATTGCATGTGAAAGCACCTTGCAACTGTAAAGCACTTTGTTATTACTATTTGTTACTAGGTTGTTATTGTTGTTGTTGTTGTTTTACATCTACTTTTCTTGATAGAGCAGCGCTTCTGACCTTTACTTACCTTGTTATCATTTTTTGAGAAGCAGCACTATATGGGGACAGAGTGCTATGCCTTTGAATCGGGAGGCCTAGGTTCAAATTCTGTCTATCACACTTATTATGTGGCACTGGGCAAGATATTCATCTCTCTAAGCCTCAGTTTTCTCAGCTGTAAAATGAAGGATTGGACCAGATCAAGGCTTCTTAATCATTTTTGTTTCATGAACCGTTTGTCGATCTGGTGAAACCTGTGGATCTCACAGAATAACTTCTTTTTTACATGAATAAATAAAATATTTATAATTACAGAGGAAACTAATTATATTGAAATACGGTTTTATATATGCATATGCATGTTTACATATGCACACATGTACGTGTGTATATATGCATGTGTGTGCATGCATAAATATGTGTCTATATGTAAACATGCATATGTATATATGAAACTGTATTTCAGTATAATTGGTTTCCTTTGTAATATATATATATGTGTGTGTGTGTGTGTGTGTGTATGTGTGTGTATACACGCACACACACACACTTTTTTTACATTCATAAGCCACCAGGTTAAGAACCCCTTGATTGGATAACATCTCAGTTCCATGATTTATCATCTCTATAATGGTGATGATAATATTGGTCGGACCTACCTCACAAGGTTATGGAATGTAAAGTATTCTGTCAGCCTTGATGCATTATAGAAATGAAAGCTATTTTTCTATCACTCATCCTTGGTCAAAGTTGGGTTTTAATTTTTTTTTAAGTTGAGTATTTATGTAATATCCCAGGAAGACAGTAGGAAAATGAAAAGGCATTGGGCATGATTTATATAAATGATCTAGCATTAAAGTTGACAACAAAAATTGGTGAGCATTGTACTAATGAAGTTTCACTGGAGTCATTTATTTTAGTCACTATAATAAAGTTTTCTGTTTTTTATTTCAGTTTTGATATTAGCTTATGTCTGCATAGCCTTCACCTGAAAAGCCTGCTACTCTTAGACAAGGAATTGAGGCAGGAAAAACACATGGTACGTGGAAGATGGTTGTTTTTAATGTATTTTTTTTATCTGAGTATGAATGTGGTTTTATTAGAAAACATAAGGACTTTACCTAATTGAGAAGCAGAAATGACTGTGGTGGGTTCCCCTTCACCAGGAGGCCAGATGACCACTTTTCAGGTATTATACATAGAAGAGATTTTTGCTCAGGTATGGGATGGTGTCAGTGGCCCCTAAACTGGTTGTCAGCTCTGTAAATCTGTAAATATACTACTTTGTCCACATAGACTACTTTGTTGATGGGAAGGATATACACCTTCCTCCATTAACATCTTCCCTTGTCAATTCATCATGTCTTTAGATATGAGGTGACTCTGGGTTCTCAAGGTTAAGACAGACACCAGAGAACTGGCTCTGGTGGGTCCTACCAATCTGGAAACACTTTTAGTGTGGGCCCTGGGGACTGTATAAGGAACAGCCAAGCAAAATAGAGAGCTTTATCACAAGAGGAATGTTCCTCAGAGAACCCATTTATTCTGACATAGAAATTCCTTAAAATGGTGAATGCAAAGATGTGCAAGGAGCAGTTAGGATCTGCATAGGTAGAGGGTGTGACACAGTGAAGAAATCATGAGATTTTAAAGTATTGAATTATGTGATATAATATTAAGCCCTCTGTCTAGATGGTAAAAGTATATATTTTACTCAAAACTCTTTAAAATTTTTAATTTATTTAATTTATTTTAATTTAATTTATTTTAAAATAATTTAAATTTATTTTAAATTTAGTTTATTTAATATTTTAATTCATTGTCTTTTATACACACATGTCTTGTATTTTAAAATGATTTAGTACAAAGATAGTCTTTAGGTTTCTTTATGGCTCTTCAAAACTTTAGCTATAATTCCTGACTGGGGAGTCAGAAGAGGAAAAAATAGAGCATCCTGATGCCCTTTGAAAGGTCTAAAATAATGTTACAAGACACAAAGATTTGGAGGAAAACAGGCATTGTAAATCATTTTTTTCTTAAATAAACATTTTATTTATTATTTAAAACATCACTAAAAGTTCCCGGTGCCCTCCCTATTCCCAACAATAAAATTTTCCTTAAAAAAGACAAACAAAACAAAATAAAAAAATCACTGACCATGCCTGACAGCATATCTAATTCCACACCCATGGTCCACCACCTCTCTGCACATTTGTCATTTTCCTTTTTTGTCATATTAGCCAATCTGATAGGTATGAGGTGGTATTTATTTTAATTTGCCTTTCTCTAATCAATAATGATTTAGAATACTTTTTCATGTGGCTATAGATAGCTTTGATATCTTCTTCTGAAAACTGCCTGTTCATATCCTTTGACCATTTAACAATTGGGGAATGACTTGTCTTCTTAAAAATTTTACTCAGTTCTCTATATATATTTGAGAAGTGAGGACTTTATCAGAGAAACTTGCCATAAAAAAAAAGTTTTCCCACTTTCCTTCTAATCTTGACTGCATTGATTTTGTTTGGGCAAAAAGGTTTTAATCTGATATAATCAAAATTATCTATTTTACATCCCATAATGCTCTCTATCTCTTGATTGGTCATAAATTCTTCCCTTATCCATAAATCTGACTGATAAAATTTTCTATGCTCGCCTAATCTACTTATGATATTGCCCTTTATGTCTAAATTATGTATTCATTTTGGCCTTATCTTGGCATATGGTATGAGATATTGATCTGTACCTAGTTTCTGCCATAATGTTTTCTAGTTTTCCCAGTAATTTTTGTCAAATAGTGATTTTTTTTCTTCCCAGATTCTTGGATCTTTGGGTTTGTCAAACATTAGATTACTACAGTTATTTACTACAGTCTATTTTGTACCTAAACTAGCCAATACCAGATTGTTTTGATGATTACTACTTTATAATACAGCTCGAGATCTGATATGGCTAGGCTACCTTCCTTTAATTTTTTTTCAGTGATTCTCTTGATATCCTTGATTTTTTGTTCTTTGAAATGAATTTTGTTATTATTTTTCTAGCTCTATAAAATAATTTTGGTAGTTTGACTTTTTCAGCTCTCGCTTTCTATGTCATATGGTAACTTCCAGGACCAATGTTCTAATATTCTATAATGTTTTCCTTTAAAAATCCAGTAACTTTACTACAAAATAGGTTAAAAACTGATCTTGAGTTATTGTTTTTCCTCTTTTAATAGATGTTTATCCAGATCCTCAAAATGTCCCTAACTGATATTCTTCCAAAGAAGAAAGCTGGTGATGATTTGTATCAAAAGATCATTTCAAAACAAGAAGTGGTAAGAGTTACAACTTACATGTCAAAGAAACATTTTTAATAAGGCTTATATTATTCTCATTTTAACCAGCTAACATATGGCTGATGACAACTGAATGTGCTCTCTTACATCTGGAATTTTGTAAATGAATGTAGATTATAAATCTGTTTAAAAGAAATGTATATATATATATATATATATATTGCCTTTGTACATAAAAAACTTCTTGATGATATCGCCTGTAAAATATTAGTAACTGTTAAAAAGATTATCTATAATAGGCGATCAGTAGTACTAGAATCAGAGGAACTAGGTTCAAAGCCTGTCTCTGCCTCTTACAGGTCCTTTAAATTCTCTGAGACTCAGTTTCTTCATTTTCAAAATGGGAGGATTGGACTGCATGTTTTCTCAAGTTCCTTCCACCTTCAAATCTGTGATCTTTATAATCCTATTAATTCTATAAACGTTGTAACCTAGTCCTCATCTTTTATCATCTCTGGGATTTAAGGAATATTTGTTGTAGTTTTACTTGACATTTTTTCTTTTTAAATTTTATGTCCAGACCTACAGTCAGTCCAAGTAGCTAGATGATACAGTAGATAGAGCACTGGGCTTGGAGTCATGAAGACCTGAATTCAAATAAGACTGTAGACACTTACTAGCTATGACCCTGGACATCTTGTTTAACCTCAGTTTTTCTCAATTTCCTCATCTGTAAAATGTAGATAATAATAATAGCATCTACCTCACAGGATTGTTGTGACAATCAAATGAAATATCTGTCAGGAGCTATGTAAACCTTAAAGTGCTATGTAAATGCTACTATTGTTATCATCTCACTATTATTTCTTGGTGTAGGGAACTCCCAGTATTGAAACTCCCTCCACCCAGGTAGATTAGCAGTTCCTTTGTAACATAGATTCTTAAGAAAATTATCTGGGGAAATTTAGGGGTTAAGTGACTTGTCCATGGTCTCCCAGCCATTATCTGTTACATGCATCAGCATAATCCAAATCTTCCTCATTCCTAGGTCAGCCTTCTTTCCACCATACCATCCTGCCCAACAAACTTAAAAACACAAACCTTTCTATAAGTTTATGTTTTTCTTCGTGAAATGTCATTGTAAACAAGCAACAGTTTTAGAAATTTTGCACATTTCCCATTATTGCTGGTGATGAGCTACCTACTAAGTGGCATTCTTAAGCTAATAAAAAATGATCGGGAGAGGTATCACAGAGTTGCAGAAGGAATAGTACTTCTAAAGACAGAAGACAGAGGCTCAAGTCTTCCAGCTGACATTCATTAGCTCTTTGATCTTGGAAAATGTACTTCATCTTTCTGACTGAGACATTCTTCACTCCTAAGGTATATATAGTATACCCAAAGCTTCCCCACGAGACTGTGGTGAAGAAAATGCTTTGTAAATTGCATCAGTTGGAGCTGCTATTAATATATGGGAAGGCAGATAGAAGGATCTCACAAGATGTCAAGGTGTGGAGGAGTTGAAATGAACATCTATGGAAGTACGACCCTCGCTAATGAAAACACTGATCCAGTAAAAGGAAGCATCTAGATGAGAAAAAAATTAGTGGATTATTGGTGCTTGTAATGACCTCTTTCTTCATTACTTGCTCATTTTTGATAAATGCCAAGCTTCATATTTGTGCTCATTTTCTCTTTTACCCATGATTTTTATTTTTTAATTAAAACTCTGGGGACAAGTTGCCCTACATATATTTGTGTGTGTGTGTGTGTGTTATGTATAGATATAGATATTGTTATTCCCTTAAAACATTAACTACAAAAAAGTAGCCATCATTTTTAAAAATATATTTAGAATCATGAAATTATAACAATAAAGACACATAAGAGGATAATATCACATTAACTAATTCTGGGTAGGAATGATGCCTCCCACACTCCATTTTTTTTCTTCCCCATAGCCTACGCTATATACAGTAGGTGCTTAATAAATGGAAAGTTATATGGTGAGTTGTAAAAAACCTGGCATATTACCAACAATGATTCCTACAGAAGAAATAACATTAAATGCATCAGCAATGATGTGCATGGCCGGGAAAGGAGATGGGCAAGTCTTACTGTGCCTGCAGGGAAGAATGGTTGGACAGCCTGAGTGTGCTTCTGGTTTCCATGAAATAATAAAAATTCAGATGAATAAGAAAGAAGTTATAAAATGAAACGGATGAGAACTACATAGTATAAAGATTTGTGACCTCAGCTAGGAGTGGGAATAAGCATTTATTTAGCACCTAATACATTCCAAGGACTGTGCTAAGTGCTTTAAAAAACAAACAAACAAACTATTATTGCATTTGATCCTCACAATGACCCTGTGAGGTAGGTGCTATTATTGTCTCCATTTTGCAATTGAGGAAACTGAGGTAAACAGAGGTTAAATGATTTACCCAGCATCATACAGCTAGGAAGTATCTGAGGCTGGATTTGAACTCAGTTCTTCCTGATTTAGTCCTTTATCCACTATGCCACCTAGCTGCCTCAACTAGGGAAGGGAATAGCCCCATGGATCAGAACTTTGATGAGACTGCATATTGAAGTATATAGATGGTGTCCTCACCGAAATACCATTATTTTTACTCTGTTATAAAGATTCCCTCCTCATCATATAAATTCAATTTCTTAAATTCAGTTATATGCTAGGCACTTCAGAGTTGCAAAGAATTATGAGACATAGCCCCTGCCCTCCTGGGGCTTCCAGTCTAACATGTGAACGTAGCATCACATAGATAATCGTAATTCAAAAAGGAATGTTCTAATAAGAGAAGTATAAAGTGCTGCAAGAAGTTTAAGAAAGGAGGAGCACATTCCTAATTCAAACACAGCTATGGACACACTTCCAATGGACATAGTCCTTGGCTTTTATCTCTAGAAGTGAAAATTATTTTTAATATTCTATGATTATTATTTGATGTAAATTATCTCTGAGGATTCTCACAATGACTCTACGAAGTAGGAATTGTAAGTACTTTTATCCTTATTTTGAAAATTAAGAAACTAAGGCTTATCAAGATTTAGTGCTTTATGCAGGGCCACACAAGTAAATCCCACTAGATCTGGAAAGTAGGTCATATGACTTCTGATCTAGTACTCTTTTCACAGTGCCAAGATATCTTAAAGTATTAAAATATAATGAAAAATATACCCTTAGGATTAAAAGATGATGTCCAGTTGTTTTTTGGAAATCCAATGGATAAAGCACTGGGCCAGGAGTCAGAAAGACTCATCTCCCCAAGTTCAAATCTGACCTCAGACACTTGCTTTGTGACCCTGGGTGAGTCATTTAACCATGTTTGCCTCAGTTTCCCCATCTGTAAATGAGCTGGAGAAGGAAATGGCAAACCACTGCAGTATCTTTGCCAAGAAAATCCCAAATGGGGTCTCAAAGAGTCAGACATGACTGAAAAACAGCTGAACATCTGACATGCTGGATGAGAGAGAAATGGAGATTTAAAAAATATGTTTACAGAGGGCACATGGCAGATTTGGGAGTTAGAAAGCCTGGGCTTAACTCACAACTGGCAAAATTAAAGGAACCTGGAACTCAGTCTAGAGAACCTCGGTTCCAATCACATTCTTCAATTAGATTGTGAGCTTCTTGTGAGCAGGGACTATCTTTTGCCTATTGTATCTGTAGTACTTAACACGGTGCGTGGCACCTAGTAGGCATTTAAGAAATGTTTATTTATTGATTACTTCTTCCAACTAGCTATCTGACTATGAGCAAGCTAGTTATTTTCTCTTGCCCTCAGTTTACTTGTCTGTAAAAAGAGTGAGTTAGATATGCCCAAAGGGCTATAAAATGTACATACACTTTGACCCAGCAATAGCACTTCTAGGGCTGTATCCCAAAGAGATCATACAAATGGTAAAAGGACCCACACGTACAAAAATATTTATAGCAGCTCTTTTTGTGGTGACAAAGAATTGGAAATGGAGAGGATGTCCATCAATTGGGGAATGGCTGAACAAGTTGTGGTGTATGAATGTAATGGAATACTGTTGTGCTATAAGAAATGATGAACAGGCTGATTTCAGAAAAACCTGGAAAGACTTGTATGGTCTGATGCTGAGTGAAGTGAGCAGAACCAGGAGAATGTTGTACACAATAACAGCCACGTTGTGCGATGACTAATATTGATAGACTCAGCAATACAAGGATCTAAGACATCTCCAAAGGCCTCGTGATGGAAAATGCTATCCACATCCAAAGAAAGGACTGTGGAGTTTGAATGCAGATCAAAGCATACTATTTGCTATTTTTTTCTTCTGTTTTGTTTTGTTTCCTCTTTATTTTTTTTTAAAGGCAGTTGGGGTTAAGTGACTTGCCCAGGGTCACACAGCTAGTAAGTGTCAGGTGTTTGGTCTGAGGCCAGATCTGAACTCAGGTCCTCCTGACTTCAGGGCCAGTGCTCTATCCACCACGCCACCTAGCTGCCCCTTTGTTTCCTCTTTCTTGTGGTTCCTTCTATTGGTTCTAATTCTTCCTTACAACATGAATAATGTCAAAATATGTTTAATAGAAATGTATTATATATAGCCTATATTAGATTGCATGCTGTCTTGGAGAGGGTGGGAGGGGGAGAAAAAGTTAAAACTCAAAAGCTTATGGAACTGATTGTTGATAAATCAAAATAAATTTTAAAAAAAGAATGAGTTAGACTGGTTAATGTCTAAGGGCTCTTCCATCTTTGAAGCCCATTATCCTCTGACCTTTACTAAGTGTATGACCTTGAGTAAATAATTTTGAACTTAAAATGCCTTCTTATATGTAATATGAGGATGACAGTGCTTGTATCTATTTCAGATAATTTTATTAGGTAAAATTTTTGTAAGCCATAAAATGCCATAGGAGAATGAGGTATGATTATAAATATAAAAACCTATGGGACATTTAATCAAGTATGAACAAATAGCTTTTCTGTATTGCAGCTAAGACTATGGGGAAGATATTTATCTCCCTGACATTTAAGATGTTGCCATTGTTTTTTTTTTAATTTGTGGTGTTATTATTTTTATTTTCAGGATTTGGAAGAATTAGAAAAACAAATTCAATCCAAATTATCAAACACAGAAATGGTGGGTGCTGGTAGCTCTGAATATTCCACACTGGAAGATATCGAAAGGAAAGAGAGGGAATATTCAGAACACATAATAGATAATGTACGTACAGAATTTTATTTCCCTTGCAATGCTTACAATAAAAAAAAACCCTTTTTTTTCCCCCACTAGGCAATTAAATTGGTTAAATAAGAAGGACTGAGCTTAAAAGCTTGTTAGACACTTTCCTTCTCTTTAGGGACTTATTTATCTAGTTTCTAAAGGTAAGTGGTAGAAGAAGTATAATTAAAGTTCAAAGATTCACAGAAAAAAATTTAAGTGTCCTGTCTTTTGTGAGAATCTTCAATTACTCTTTTGTAATTCAAACTGGAAATTGTTGGAGCTTTCTCTGATGATCCTACCTCCCTCTTGGGACAGAGAAAATTCCATCTGGGAACTTTATGTCCTATTGGAAAGCTCCCTTGGAAGAGAGATTGGGGAGGGGGCATAAGAGAGACATTGCTTTGGGGCAGGTTGTATAGTAGAACGAGAATGAGATTAGGAATTAAGGGGCTTGGGTTCAAATCCAGGCTTTGCCACTTATCTATTTACTCTGTAACCTATGCATGGCCTGGCCTGGCAGAATCCTGGCATCTCACACTGAGCTTGGGCCATTCATTCTGTCTGTGCTGGTTTCACCCCAACCTTACCTGAAATGGGCAGGTCCCAGAGAAAGACTACCACCACATGGAGAGAGAAGGGAAAAGAATAGATTTATATAGTGCCTACTGTGATCGACGTAGTCTGTAAAGTGCTATTTTATAATTACAATCTCATTTGATATTCAGAACAACCCTGTGAGGTAGGTGCCATTTTCAGTTGAGGAAACTGAGGCAAACAGGTTAAGTGACCTACCCAGGGTTACACAGCTGGTAAATATCTGAGTCTAGATTTGAACTCAGGTCTTTCCAACTCCAATCTCAGCATTCTATTCACTGTGCCTCCTAGTTGTGAGAGAGACATGAAAAAACAGAGATAGGAAGGAACAGCAAGAGGAGGAGGAGGAATTTGGGAAATGACACTAGATGGCTATATGACCTAGGGCAAGATACTTCACTACTCTTTACCTTAGTTTCCTCATGGGTAATATTCAGAGATATGACTGTAAAATTTCCAAGGTCTGTTCCAACTTGAAAATTCACTATTGCAAAATTGTCTGTCCAGGGCTCTCACACTACTGCTTTGTATGCATGATTTCAAGCAAAGTTGGCAATTACCAACCCATGACTGGTATAATGGATGTAATTGGGCTCTTTGTTCTCTGAAAATCTTTACAAAGCTAAAAAAACTGTCCCCAACACTGACACAGTTTGCCATCTATTAGAGAGAATTAATATCTGGTATTGAGGGTTCACTTTCTCTTAAATATACTCTTTCACTCCCATTAGTTGCTTACCTCTAGGGATTGTAAATAGTGATAATCATAGTGTAAATGCAGCATTTCAAACAATGATGACATAATTGCAGTTTTCTTAATGTATGTAACCTCGTAACTTTATAGATTACAATATTCAATTTTTCCATTTTTGTTTTGAAATAGGCTTCAAATAGAATATGAAGTTTGGTATCTGTTGATGCTTGTTTTTTAGTTCAGTGACTGCTAAGTTAGGACTTTTGTGATTTAAAAAATTGAGGATACTCGGTTCTACTGAAGAGTAAGAAGAAACCTGTGCCACTTACCCTTCCTTTCAGAAGGAAGATCCTTTCAGATCCTCTCAGATCTTGGAACATATATATATGCTAGAGTGTGATTAACTCCATTTGACTCTGAATGAATCAGTTGTGTGAAATGGCAAATAAAAAAGCTACTCTGATTGATAGAAGTCTACTTCCTAGAGCAAAGAAAGTGGGATAGGTCTGTTATTCCCTGCTCCAAGCAGGCCACAGTTGGAGTATAGCACTCAGTTCTGGGTATGACATTCAGTAAATACGTTGACAATCAGGAATATGCCTACGGGATAAACAGAAGGACAAGGAAATTGACACCATGGCGACCAAGAATTGGTTAAAGGAACTGAAATAGTCAGCCAGAAGTCTTAGGGGGTCTGGAGAAGAGGACATGGTCACCTGCCTTCAAATAACTAAAATGGATACAGGGTAAAAGAGGATTTAGATCTGCTTAGATCTAGAACTAATAACAGTGAGACAGAAGAAAATTTTGCTTCAATGGAAGAACTGGCTATCAATAAGAGCGATCCAACAGTATAATTGCTGTCTTGAGAAGTAGCAACTTCACTACCAGAGTTTGAACCACTGGCCCACTGAATACAAGCTATACTCAATGCAATAAATTCTAGAATAGTCAGAGAATTTGGCCTATTCCTCAGTTTACTAAAATTGAATTTAGCGTATGTTGATATGATTACTTCTGGTTCACTAATGTGCCTTTGCCCTAATGGTTGACTTGTTGTTCAATTGTATCCAACTTTTTGTGATCCCATTTGGGGTTTTTTTTTAGTGAAGATACCGGACTGGTTTGCCATTTCCCTCTCCATCACATTTTACAGATGAGGAAACTAGGCAAACAGAGTTAAGTGACTTACCTAGGGTGACACAGCTAGTAAGTTTCTGAAGCCAGATTTGAACTCAAGAAGATGAGTCTTCCTGACTTCAGGCCCAGCACTTTGTCTGTTGTGCTACCTAGCTGCCCCCATGGTTTCCTGGAACATTTTAAAAGCCAAATCCTTCAAAATTTTCCTACAAAATTGATCTTTTTATAGATCATGAGTAAACTCATTGCAAATTAATAGGAACACTTGCCAGGCAGAGTATTTTGTATTTTGAACCCCTCAGCCCTGTCCTTGAAAATAAAAATAAGAAAGAAAGCAAAAGGAATCTTTTCTAATCTGTCACAATGCCTCTAATTTGACCAAGGCATGACATAGTTGTACTCATAATTTAGCTTTTAATCCCCTTTGACATTCCTTCTTTGTGATTAACTTACAAGATGGTAATTACAAAATATTATTAAATGATATGAACATGTATCTGTTTGAAAGCAACCTGTGAGGCAGGTAATACAAGGATTTTATCACCATTTTATAGGAAAAGGAGCTGAGGGTAAGAGATGTTAAGGGGCTTGCCTGGTTACCCAGCTAGTAAGATCTGGAGCTGGGATACAAACCAAAATCTCCGGACTGCAGATGCTTTTCTACCTCACTGCACTTCCCCTCTAGGGACCAGACTGAAGGGTTTCCTTTGATACCCATCAACACACAACCGTTGCTACCGAATTAACCTGTACTTGGCCAGCATGTTGGAGTGGATTGGTTTTTTGTTCTTTCTTTTTTTTTGGCATCTTCTCAATAGTCTCATTAGCTACTCAGTCATTCGGTAATATCAGCCCAATCCAGCAAAGGATACAGTATTTTAAGTCACACTAATTCCCAGCTATGTTCTCAAAAAGGAAAAATAAATCATTTCAAGTATCATTCCAGAAGATTTCCCTGACTAATTTTGGTTGATCTTAACTCAGAAATATTTACCAAATGCCTATTATGTTCTGCAGCAGGGGTCCTTAACCTGGTATCTGTGAGATTATTTTTTAAAATATTTTAATAACTATTTCAGTGTCTGGGGGAGATGCATCTCCTTGGAGAAGGAATCCAGGCATCTCTACCAATCCCAACCAACTACCACTTACAGTACAGGCAAGCCAGCCTCCCCAGAGCATCAGGGCACCCTGAGGAGGAAATAGGAAACAGCATGCATCAGAAAGGTCAAACCACCCCACCACCACCTTCACCAGCATTTCCCTTCAGACCCTGACAGAGAGAGCCCAAGACCCTGAACTCAAGAGACTCTGAGATAGCAATGCTTCTATCAGAGTGCCTGGAGCTGTCATCCTTGGAAGCAACATCTGTGGAGATTCAGCCTGGAAACTGCCGCTCTTGGTGCTACACCCACAGCTTTGGAAGACTCAGAAGAGAAAGTTCTTGCCACCATATAGCCCTGGGCACTATCAAATGGTTCCATATCATAAACTGATGTGTTTTTTATCAATGAAAGTGACTTTAAGAAGAAGCATTGTTATCTGCTTTGCTGCTTGCCCCCAAGACCATAGGACCTTTCCATCTGACCTTTTCATATACGTTGTCATCCCCATTGGAATGTGAGCTGCTTGAGAGTAGGGACTGTCTTAATATTAGTATTCTCAGCACTTATACTTAATTGTAAGTGCTTTAAAATTCTTTATTCATTGATTCCTTCATTCTATGTAATTCATCTTCCTTATATTCCTGTGTCTTTTATGCTGTTAAAAATAGTATTCTGAGAAGGAATCCCTAGGCTTGACCAGACTTCCAAAGGGTCCATGGCACAAAAATGGTTATGAACCCCTATCTTAGTGATATTTCAGTGTTACAAGTATATGTGACTTTGTTGTTCTCCACCAGTGCAGATGATAGATCCATCCCTTAAAATTCCAGCACCTAGTGGCCATTCTTTTGAGGAAGAGTCTTCTGGTGGGAGATACTAACAATTCAAAGATGAAGCCTTCAAGCCTCTGATATTCTGAAGTTTTGGTATATGGGAAGCCATGTGAACAAATAGCCATTCTATAAGACTGTGAGGGAGGTCTGAAGAGCCGTATCAGTTCCTAATAGGGCAGGGTTATTTCTGGCTGCATGGGGGTAAGGAGGTGGGAATAAGGAATGATTTCAAGGAAGAGAAGACATTTGAGCTGAGCTATGAAAGATAGATAGTCATTGGAAAGAGTGAAATATGCTCTTGGGGGAAGAGCAGAGGCTTGTGAGTCTAAAGCCCTTGAGTCAAATCTAAGACCTACCAGCTAACTATTTACACCAGTCGCTTCCCACTCTAAGCCTGAGTTTTCGTATCTGAAAATCTCTAAGGACCTTCTTACCTACAAGTTTATGATGTTATACAGTGAAACTGATGGGGTAGGAGGAAAGCATTCTATGTGAGGGAAGACTATCAATAAAAGCACACAAGTGACAAGTTAGGATGTTTAATTCAATTCAGTGGGCATAGAAATGACAAGTTACTATGTTTAATTCATTCCAAGAGCATTTACTAAGTATCCAATATGTTCACACAAGGCATATCTTTCCAATCTCCTTACACATCGCGCCCCACCATGCACTCTGGTCCAACTATATTGGCCTGTTTTCTCATCCTCAGCCATCATCTATCTACTGCCTCTGCCTTTTCACTGGCTGTTTCTGGTGCCTGGAATGTTCTTCCTCTTCCCCTCCATCTCCTAGAATTCCTGACATTCTTCAAGACTCATTTCAAGCACTACCTTTTGTTTTAGGTCATTCCCTCTACTCCTGACTCTACCCTGCTGACTATTAAGACCTTTCCCTCAAACGTTACTACCCACCTATACCGTATATATCTCATATTTACCAATTTATATACCTGTTGCCTCCACCACTAGAATGCAAGCTCTTTGAGGACAGGAACTCTTTATGCTTTTTCTTTGTATCCCTAGTACTCAGCACAGTGCTTGGCACATAGTAAGCAATTAATAAATGCTAGCTGGTTGATCGATTGAGAGTACTAAGCCAGGACCTAGAGATAAGAAGACAAAATGCAAATTAGTTCCCACCATCCAGGCATTTACATTCTAATTGAGGGTATTGAGGAAATTAGGATAATAAGTGATTAATTATGGGAACTGAATGAACCACACTGACTCCATCTTGTGACTCAATCCTGGAGCTAGCTTAGTTACTGTTCAGTTATGGGTCTAGTCCAATTGCTTTCTTGTCTCATTCAATTGTGAGAATTAGGTGGAAAAACTCTTTATTGCATTGTTTGAGCCTAACCCTGTGTGACTGGGAAACTGGGACCACATCTCCCTGCTGCTTAGAGATCCTTAACCAAGGATCTAGGTTATGCTGACCAAAAACCCAGTCAGACCTGAAGATTGAGGCAGTGAGTTTTTTCACATCTTTACATTTCAAGCAACCCATATGTCTTATCTGAAAATTGGTCCTATGTTGATCAATCAGTTACTGTTTCCATGTTCCTTTGATTGATTACAGTCACTTGGGAGGAGTAGGACACTTCTTTTTCTTAATTCAGAGAATTGCACCTGCTAACTCTCCCCCTCCCAATGTGGAAAGCCCCTAATCTTTCCTCCAATTAGAAATCAGATTACCCAATGTTGTAGTTTCCTTTTAATTAATTGGCCTTATTTGATTAATTGTTTTTAAGGTATAAAAATCTGTCTCCCCCTATGTTCGGAGTCCAGGCCTAAGCTGAGGAGGTCTGGCCCTGGTTTGTTGAGCAGTTGCCATGAGTCGCTTAATAAATCAATATGCTCAGAAGATCAGACCTTTGTTTCTTCAGTCCTTTCATCTATCACCTGCCACATAATGAAGGTGTACAACATTTACACAGATTTTAAGTGAATATAAGATAATTGGAAGATAGAGAGAGCCATATTTATAGTTCAAGGCTGAATGGTACATTAGAAGCCATATTACCAAACCTCATTTTACAGATGAAGAAACTGAGGCTCACACTGGTTATATATCTTGCCTAGGGTCACACAGATAGCAAGTGACAGGGGTGGGATTTCAACAAATGGAAGATATTCTGACTTCAATCCAGTACAGTTTCTCCCAGTTTCAAAGCCACAGGCATAAGCTGGGAATAATAAATATAAAATACTATTAACTTTAAAATAATGCAGAAGTTTGTGAAATTGATCCTGTGACCTTTGAGCCAGTAGCTGATGTCTGTACTTTTTCCTTTCAGATCAGAGCTTCTAATAACAGTGTCCCTTTTCCTGAAGATCCTAATTAATTGGAATATTTAAGCCATGTTCACCATAATCCTTTCCATCCTTATCTCAAGTGCCTCATCTTCTGAAAAGATGCCTTAAAACTGAATGACAGAGTAGTAGAAAGCCTAGGGTGGGGGTGGGGTAGAATGCTGTATAAAATGCTACAACATAATCAACATAGAATTGTATACCAACATGCAGATACTTTAAAATTGGTATTGTAGAATATGTAATGTTTGATAAATATTCAACGACATCATGTACACACAGTCATCACTCTTCTCTTTGATATGTCATTTTCATTTCACAGATGGAAGCCTTCTGGAAACAGATGGAAAAAACCCAGCACTTTCTCCTAGACCAATTGAAATGTTTAAGTGCCAAAGCAGGGCAGATAATGCAGAATCTAACTGAAAGAATGATTACAGCAGAAGAGTTATTAAGTGCCTCTCAGGACTTGCAGACCCTGGTAAGTATGAAGAGAGCAGGAAGAGGAGGGGGGCTTCAAGCACCCAGAGGCATCTTCTCATCCATCTGAGTATGTCATGTTCAACAAAGAGGATGCCTGCATGTTATCTAGTAGAAAGAGCACCAGAATGGCCGAGTGACCTGTGGTATGTGAATGTAATGGGATATTCTTAGGTTAGTAAGAAATGGCAAATATGAGTAATTAGGAAAAATGGGGAGATTTGTATAAACTGATGAAGAAAGAAATTAGCAGAACCAAAAGTGCTTTATCCAATACAGGAGCACTGTAACAACATAAATAAAAAGAAGGCCAAAATGAAGCTAAATTCTTAGTGATTGAAAAAATTACAATTAGTCCCAGAGTATAAGAAGTGTATAAGCAGAAAGGCAGAGGTCTAATCACACTGAATATTACATAAATTGCTAGATGTGGTCTCTCTTATGGATTGTTTTTGTTTAGCTGTGAGAGATCTTAAAATGGATTCTTCACACATAGAATCTTTTCAGGCAGTGGGCATCCATGCAGAGATGTGGGCAGGTGCCATTCACCATGGGAGAAGCTAATGATAGCTGTGGTCTCCTAGGCCAACATATCCATAGGAATTTGTAGGGATGAGTTGCCTTTGGGAAAGTGTAAAGGTCCTTTCATGACCCCAACATTCCCTCAGAAACAAAGGCCCATCTTTTTGGTAACAAAATCCTACTGGTGTTTCTGTATGACAATGAAATATGGAATATATGACTCTGAAAAATTAAAAGTGAATATTACTCAGAAGGCTGTGGAAAGATTCATCATACGTGTGACCAGGCTGCAACCTATCACCAATGAAAAATAACGAAGAAGAGGAGTAAAAGAGAGCATCAGAGAAATATAGAATGATAGGAAGAAAAGATGGGCTGCTTCTATGGCAATACTGACAGATGATGAAGAGTGTAAGTGTTTCCGTGATATCTAAGAGATACCAGAAAGAAGTGAGGAAGACATCCCTTGGGTGAATTTATGGGAGGATGTGGATGTGAGTCAAGGGTAGCTAAGTAGCAAAATGGATAGTAGAGTGAGGGCCAGGCCTGAAATCAGGAATTCTCATCTTTTTTTTTTTTGTTAGGCAGTGGGGTTAAGTGACTTGCCCAGGGTCATGCAGCTAGTAAGTGTTATGTGTCTGAGGCCGGATTTGAACTCAGGTTCTCCTGAATCCAGGACAAGTGCTCTATCCAAAGCACCACCTAGCTGCCCCAATACTCATCTTCTTGAGTTCAAATCAGGCCTCAGACACTTACTAGCTGTGTGACCCTGAGCAAGTCACTTAACACTGTTTGCTCAGTGTCCTTATCTGTAAAATGAGTTGGAGAAGGAAATGGAAAACCACTCCAGTCTTTTTTGCCAAGAAAACCCCAAATGGGGTAACAAAGAGTCTGAGATAACTGAAACAACTGAGCAACCAATGGACATGAGTCCTATAAGATGGGCAAGTATGAATATATTACAGTCTGCATTATTGGAGGGATCTCATCACGGTGTGATCATAGATCCTTTTCAGCATTTGGACATGCCAAGGAGTAGGAAAGTCACTAATTATGTTTGATGGTGGATTAAGAAACTGGCCGTCTTTTGAGGTATTGGCTGGGTAAGTCGATTAGTCAGAGTCAGGAAAGAGGTTGAAGTATTGAGGGGGCATAGGGAATTGAGAATCTGAGAAGCAAAAGCCAGCCACGGCACCCAGGATCCAGGTCTTGGGGTTTATCCTCTGTTATTGTCACTGGTGTGTCTTGATGACAGAGGTGCTATTTAGGAATGTCTGGTTCTTGCCTTGTATTGTGTCAGGGTCTCTGCACAACAGTGGCCAGGACTGGGAAGCAAAAGATGAGAAATCTATAAAGCTTGGTCAGTGTAACCCCACTTGAATTGACCAGCTATATTTGCTTCCTGTTTTCCATCCCAAGAAAAGGGTGATGAGGGGCGCTGGGCAAAGTAACAGAGTTGAAGAATCATAATAATAATTGGAATTTCTATAATGCTTTATGGTTTACAGATCACTTAGTGAAATGATTTCCTTTTTGTTCCTTTAATAGCCAAGTGAGATAAGTATTTCTATGGTCCCCATTTTATACTGAAATGGAGCTATGTGATTTCATCAATCTGAATGTTCTTTCCAGTGATGTCAATCACAACCCTCCACAACTGTCCATTATGCACAGCTCTCACCCATATCTTTCTATAAGTTTGCTACAGAGGGTCCATCTAACATACTGGAGTCCTTCCTTGCTTCTGCTGCCATTGCCAGCATGTCCATGGAGCGCTTGGGTCATCTACCTTTCATATTTTACCTTTCACATGGCCAACTCATATTTTTTCCTAGCATACATTCCACTGATGTCTTCTCTTAACTCCTGAACTTCTTCAAAGTCCCTCATTTCTTATATTTATTGGCAGGTAGGTGACATAATAGATAGAGTGTTGGGCCTGGAATCAGGAAGACATGAGTTCAAATCTGGCCTCAGACACATACTAGCTGTATGACCTTGAGCAAGTCACTTAACCTCTGCATTAGTTTCCTCATCTGTAAAATGGAGATAATAAGGGTTGTTGTGAAGATCAGTGAGATAATAATTGTAAAGTACTTAGTACAATGCCTGGCACATGGTAAATGGTATATAAATGTTAGCAATTAATTATTGCATGCTCACAGCAACAATGCACACTTGCCTGTTATTGCATAGACAGTATGATATATTGGAAAGAGTGATGAATTTGGGGTCAGAAGACGTGGGTTCAATTCACAATTCTGCCACTTATTTCCTGAATGACCTTGATTGAATAAGTGGAGTAACCTCTCAGACCCTCAGTTTCTTCTGTAAATTGAGAGGATTGGACTTGATGACCTTTAATATCCCTTTTAGCTCTAAATATAGTAGTCCTGATGGATGAACTGTCATTTTAATCAGTTCTTTTTATTCTAAATTTATTCTAATTGTTCTTTCCATCATATTACAACTGGAAGGGACAGACAACTTTTTCATTTTATAGAAGAGGAAGTTAGGACCAAGAAGGATGAAATGATTTCTCCAAAATCACATGGCAAACAAATTCCATTGTATCTGCAGAAGAAGCAGAAAATCATTCATTTCATCCCTACATAAGCCATAAGAGGGTAATATTAAAGTGTGGGGAAGCAGCAGCTCTTTTTATCAAAGACTAGAAATCCTCAAACAGGAACTGTTTTCTCTTTGTTCATGACCACCATCTAAGTGAGCACCCCTGATCAGAGAAACTGACCTCATATAGTGGTTTTTAAGGCTGCATATGCCCTTTGTGACATTACAGGTAGAAGTGTAACACTCAGGCCATCTGTACCTACTTGTGTTAAAAATATTCTTACAGAGCTAAGTAAAATTTAAGATAATGTGATATATTCCATAGACATTTTCCTATATTTCTTTGAACAAGTTATAAGTTAGAAAAATATATCTAGATGCTGAATGTCTTGCCTAAAATAAACTTGTAGATTATATAATTTTACTCTGTCTAATGGAGTGTTTTTCTTCTGCCTACTAGGCAGGCTGAAAGAAACACCCTTGAATGGAGTGGACTCTAAGTTAATGAAGGTATACTACTATGCGTAGTAGGGGGGAGGGGAAGGGAAGAAAAGGGGGAAAAAGGAGAAAAAATAAGAAAGAAGGAAAGTTACACAATAAATTTATTATATATTTTAAAAGAATAACAAGTTGTACATAATAGTTTGCAGTTTCATGTGCAATCATCTTTTTCTATTCCACTCTGTTACAGAGATTCTTGTTTTATTTCTTAAGTTCAGAATATATATATATATATATATACATATATACATATATATATATATTTAGAAAGTGATTTCCTAGAAAAGATAGAATGAGTGACTCAGGAGAATCGAATGGATTTCATCAGCCTGATGCCCTCTGATAAGTGAAGGCAACAGATTTGTCATTTGAACAGCTTTCCCTCAAAATTCTTGTGTTTAAAAGGATTAAGCATTTACTTCTGAAATATTAAAATTCTTGAAATTTTACCTTTTCCTTGCCTTTATCTTTAATTACCCTCTTTTTTAACATTACAATCACCCCAAGATGACATCCAAAAAGAACCCCCTTGTAACAAATAAGTACCAAAAAAACCCAAAACAAATCAATGCATTTGCAATACCTGACGATGCATGTCTATGTTCACTTATAGCCATCAGCTCTCTGCCAAGAAGTGACAGGTATCCTTCATCATCAGTGTTCTGAAGTTATGCAATCATAGATTTAGAACTGGTGGGATCCTTAGAGGCCATTTAGTTCAACTTTCTCATTTTACAAACTGGGAAACTGAAGTCTAGGGACAGTGAGATTTATCCAAGGTCACACAAGTAGTTAATGACAGGGCCAGGATTTGGATCTGTATTCCATGGTTCTAAATCCAGTGTTCTCTCTGCTATACCATGCTGACTCTATACTTAGTCACTCCCTTGATCAGAGTTCTGAAATTTCTCAGTATTTTTCTTTATAATATTGAAATCCTTGTACTAGTTCTTCTGGTTCTTCTTACTTTATTTTGAATCATTTCATTCAAGTCTTCCCAGGTTTCTCTGAATTCTTTATATTTATCATTTAATAAAATTCAATAATAAATTACATTCATATATTCCTATTCATTCAGCTATTCCCCTACCTCCTTTGGGCATCTATTTTCCTTCTAGTTCTTTGTTACTTCTAAAAAGACTACCATAAGTATTTTGTACATATGGACTTTACATCACCTTCCTAGGTTTATTTCCCTTCCTTTCCCTCACAATGAATATTAGCCAATGCAGATGGCTTTTTGTTCCCTGAATGTGCTCCAATCTCTGTTCCCTTAGCCTGGGATACCTTTCATTTATTTCCTTTTTTGCTGCTGAATTCATACCCACTTTTTTGTGGCCACCTCAAGAAACACCTCCTCCATGAAACATACACAAATAACCTGTAGGTTAGCAGGAGACAGTTGTAGTATAGATTAAGTAGTAGCCTTGGAGTTAGAAGACCTAGGTTTGAATCTTAGTGCAGCCAATTACTATCTTTGTGATCTAGGACAAACTAGTTCATAATACTTGGTTTTTAGTTTCTTCCTGAATCCCTCCAAGATCTAGAATCCTATAATATTCCCTCCTATACCTCACATAAAACTCTTCTAGCACCATACTATTGTACTTGCCAGGTAGTATTGTGTGTTGTGGTTTCCTTTGTATGTTTTACATTACTCCAGGAGACTGGAAGCTTCTTGGTCTTAAAAGCCATGTCTTAACTTAACTTTGTATCTCACCCAACATATGGCACTATGCTCTATGCACAGCAACCACTTGATAAATGTTTACTGTGGTGGTTGCTTTAAGTATTTCAGATATAAATAGACTAGATGCCAATAAAGATTAAAATAATCATCATCATAATAGCTTATATGTCCCTAATGCTTTAAAGTTTGCAAAACACTGTAATATATCATGTCATTTCATCCCCACAATAGCCCTGTTATTATAGATGCTGTTATCTCTGTTTTACAGATGAAGAAATTGAGGATGAGAAAAATTAAGTCCCTTGCCTAGGCTCAAATAGCTAGTAAAATTTTGAGTTGGGATTTGAACTCGGATCTTTCCAGCTCCCAATTCCTGCCACTCTTTTCTCAAGTTACCTCTCAAAGTTGCCTCATAAACATTTTGTTCAATTTCATGGTGTGTGAATATATATGTATATATTTCTTTTAATTTTTAGGACATTCAAGAGAGAACAGTGGGTTGGGAATATATGGCCAAAATGATCAACTCCTTAAAATTACAAATTCAGGAAGAGACCAAGTGTCGGCTGACTGTGATTTCTCGGGCACTGGAGTCATTAACCGTTGTGGGGAAACTCTCAGTAAGACAGAAGGAAGAGCTGTTAACACAGTTGCACAAAGCTTTCTGGGAAGAAGTAGAGCATCATAATAGTGGTAAGTGACTCAGATTTGTCTGGTCTCTGAAACGGTGATGATTTTGTGGTGATAAAATGTGAATACAACTCAAACATTGGTAATGTATTTTCAAACTGAAAGGGAAAAGTAGTTGCTACTATGTTAGGGTGATAAGTCCACCAATTGGTGTTAGAGTGCGAAAGAGATGATGGTAATCTCAAAACCTCTTCTCAAAACACCAATTTCTTTATATTATTTTGCTGTGTTCAATGGCTACCCATTATCTGTTACATGGATTCTACGATCTTTTCTCTGTCATTTTAAGCCCATGTTTTAAATAGTTTAATCACCTCTCTCATTTGAATTGTTGAGATAGATGTTCACTATTGACTACTTTGTCAAGGATCATAGAATCACAGAATTGGATTGGACCCCAGAGGCCATTTGTCCAACCAGCAAGAATCCTCTTTACAACATTCATGCCAAGTGACCATCCAACCCTTACCTGAGAAAAGCCAACATTGTACATTACATGAATAATGAAGGCCCAATAGATAAACTCATGAAGAACAAAATCGATAAATAGTTTAATCCTACTCCTCAAATTCTTCAGCTTCTGGGGCTTTTACAAGCAGTTTTTCTATTTACAAACTGCTTCTTACATGTCCTCAAAAGAGTCTAGGGCATTTTTTTCCAAAATAAATATATTTCAAGCATAATTTGGATGGACTGATTTCAAAACTAAATAATAGAGAAATTTCTTCACACAAGAGTTAGGTCAGTTATTTAAAATCATGTGCAACTTTTACTTTTTACAAATTAACAATACATTTAATTTATTTAGAGTTGGGGGGAGAGGTTTGGATACATTATATTATAATACAGTCTATGTTGCTGGAACCATATGCTCTGGTCCCAATCCAGTGGTTTCTAAGCCTGACTTTGCAGTCCTCCAAGCTACAGCTCATTACATCTGGGCAGAGGTGTCACAACAAAATTAATTTTAATTCATTTCAATTTAAAATACCAACATCTCATAAAATAGTTTTCTTTTTTTATTAAATGATTTTTGTGCCATTGAGTTAGAACTTTTAAAAATGTATTTACATTTGCGGCTCTTTGCTTGTATGAAGTATAAAATTTCTCAAAATACATGTTATTTTCCAAAGGCCAACTCAAGATTAGTCAAGGAACAACTTTCCTAACCTGTGTACCTCCCCTGCAACCTCGCTCCTTTTTTATTGTTGTTGTCTCTGTATTGACCCCAATCTTCACTTTATACCATTAAATTGCTACCATGTCCTTGACTAGATACCTAAGGCACAATATACTTCTGTGCTCACACAACAGTCATCATTTAGGTGTTTCACAGGGCAATGTGTAGCATTGTTTTTCATTTTCCTATATAAAGTGATGGCTTTCTTCTCATGCTTCATTGTATCGTGGGACTGACCCTGCATTTCCATAGCAGGTCCTACTAAGGAGTAAAGACTTTGAGAATGGGTCCAAATTTTGGGGGGGGTAAAGAAAAAGAGACAGACAGAAACTGAGAGACAGAGAGAGAGACAGAGAGAGAGAGAGAGAGGAGAGAGAAAGAGTAAGAGATTACTAATAGGGGCAGTAGCAGTTGTTGAAGGTTATTTAGTAAGTCTGAGTATGGTTGAAAGCTGAGTCAATGAAAAATTGACCCACATCAAAGAAACATCAGATCCTTTCATTTTTCAAATATTAATCCAAATAGTCTATTCCTAAAAACTACAGCAGGCCACATTTGTAATAGCACTTTAAAGTTTCCATAGGTCATTGTTAGCAATATTCTATGAGGCAGGAAGATCACTTTTTCATATCCTCAAATGATAAGTGAATGAATCCTATTTTGCTTGGGGGGAAGGATTCAGAGGAGAATACATAGTTACGGGATGGAATGGGATGTGACCTGTATTTCATTGATAAAGGGAACTCCCGATAAGTCAAGTCCCTCTACCAATATAGGTCTGCACCTACTGTGCAACTTGTAGTCTTAAAGAATTGCCTAGGGCACTGGGAGGTTAAATGAATTCCCTAGCGTCATCCAGCCAGTTCAGATCAGAACTTGAACTGAAATCTTTCTGACTTGGCAGGTCTTTCTCCACTAAACCAAGCATACTGGAAAATTATCATACAAAAATACTGTAATGTGTGTGTGTGTACACATACATACACACACACACACACACACATATATATATATACATACATACAAACACATAGATACATACATATGTAGATACATATATTTACTATGAAACTTGGGTCTTTTTTCCCTTTTAAGTAGTATTTCATGTTTTCCAATTATATGTAACGACAATTTTTAACATTCATTTTTTTAAACAAAATTTTGAGTTCCAAATTTTCTCCCTTCCCTCCCTCCTCCCTGAGATAGTAAGCATTTTGATATAGGTTATATTATATATGCAATCATGTAAAACATATTTCCATATTAGTCATGTTGTATAAGAAGAAACAGAACAGAAGTTAAAAATATGAAAAAATAAAGTGAAAACAATATGCTTCAATCTGCATTCAGACTTTATCAGTTCTTTCTCTGGATGTAGATAGCATTTTTGATCATGAGTCTTTTGGAATTGTCTTGGATCATTGTATTGTTGAGAAGAGCTAAGTCTATCATAGTTGATCATCATCCAATCTTGCAGTTGCTATGTACAATATTCTCCTGGTTCTGCTCATTTTGCTTTGCATGTTCATGTAAGTCTTTCCAGGTTTTTCTGAAATCCACCTGTTCATCATTTCTTACAGAACAATAGTATTCCATTACATTCATATACCACAACTTGTTCAGCCATTTTCCAATTGATGGGCATCCCCTCAGTTTCCAATTCTTTGCTACCACAAAAATAGCTGCTGTAAATATTTTTGAACATGTAGGTCTCCCCCTCCCCCCTTTTTAAAATCTCCTTTGGATACAGATATAGTAGCGGTATTGCTGGGTCAAGGGTGTGCAGAGTTTGATTGTCTTTCGGGCATAGTTCCAAATTGGAAAGCTGGCTCTTTTTAAACATATCTCTCAGTTCAAGCAAAGGTATTTTGTTCCTAGGTATCATTGTCTCTCTTCGTGATTGTCACTTTTTTTGTTCTCTTACTGAGATCTTGATTACAGGCCACTCTCAGGTTTTACGTGAGGCCGATTTAGGTTAAAAGCACAGTCTGTGCAGTAGGTTTGGGCAAGTGAATTAAGCTGATAAAAGGAATATGTCAGCTTGCTGCTGCTGTCTTCGTGCAGCACTCCCTGTTTGTGAATTGCTTGATATTTAATCTTGTTTATTCCCAGCAAGAAGCAAATTGTTTGTCACTTTAATGAATCCTGCCTCAGCTGAAATACGGTGTGTCGAGAGGAGCAGCTGCGAGGCATAGGCGTTGCCTTCCTTCTCCCCTCTCTTTTTTATTCCTTCTTTCTTTCCTACTCTGTCTTTTACTCCTCTCCCTCTTCTCTCATTGTTTCTCCTCTCCCCTGCTCCCTCTAAAGGCACACAAAAGTCCACCATGTGTTTGGTGGATTAGAATATCCTCCCTAGCATCTTTGGGCAAAAAGAGCACTGGTCTTAGAAGTAGAAGACCATAGTTACGACCCAGGCTCTTTCTGGATAATTGTGCTGTCATACGTCACATCCTGTGTAACGAGGGAATGATGATAATATTTGCATTAACTGCAAGGGTTAGTGTTGCGAAGAGCAAGCAAGAGCGTACGTGTGACAGTATTGTCTGAATGTTAAAATGAAAATTAAGCCTATTGAATATAAATGATGGCTGCTGTTATTATTAATAATAGACCAGAAGATTTAGAGCTGGATTTAGATCATCTTCTCCAATCTCTTCATTTCCCAGAGGAGGCAGCTGAGGTCCTGAAAGGGAAGGTGATTTGTCCAAGGCCATATAGACAGTAAGTAACAAAACCAAGATTGGACCATGAGTTCTTTGACATCAAATCCTCCTCCTCTTACCATTGCACCACAGCCTCTGGTAATGATTTACATCTCTGTAGCACACTGTGGCTTATAAAACATTTTGTTCCCAATAATCCTGTGTGGCAATGTGATATACTGGAAGAATTTATAGCTAAAAAGCCTAAATTTGAATCCCAAGTCTGCTGCTTGAGACGTGACCAGCCAGTCACTTTACTTCCCCTGGGCCTCAGTTTCATTCTCTGTGCAATGAGTCAACTGAATAGATTATTCCAAAGGTCCCTTCCAATACAAACACCAGTGAAACTAATAAGTGTGTAGTACAAGTATTATTGGTCCATTTTACAGATGAAAAAACAGAGACTCAGAAAGCACTAATGATTTTACTAAAACCTCGTAGCTAATAAGCACCAGAGTTGAGACTCAAATTTGGATTTTCTGCCTCCTAAGTCCGATACCCCTTCTGCTACATCACACTGCCTTTCTTCTTACGTGCAACATATTTTCACAAACTATTTCCAGACCAGTGATATTTGTTGCTTATGGTTTAGAAGTCCTATTAGAGCAGGGTATTGCTGCTATCAAGTGTGATGTGACCTTAGCTTGGTAATTGCCTGAGTAAAAAAGTCTTAATTGCCCCATAAATCATACAGCCTGTCTATAACTAGCTATTTATCATGAATGCCTAAAGAGCACAGTTATTCATAAGAGTGAACTTTAGTGGAAGCTGGTGGTTTATGCATTTGGTTATATTCATTCCTTTTAATTAAGAGTTACTGCTCCTTGATTGCTGTTCTAGGGTCTGTATCCGCCTCCAGAATCACAGAAGGTCAGAGGTAGAAGAGATCTCAAGATCCAGTTTCTACCAGTTCAAGCTCTGCCTAAGAAGGAAACTTCTCTCTAATATTCTCAATAATCCAGCCTCCACTTGTAGGCTCGCAGCAAAGAGGAATCCTCTTCTTCCATTCTACCACTGGATAGCTCTAATTGTTTGGAATTTCTTCTTATAGCTATCCAAAATGTGCTTTCTTTCAACTACCACTTTCACCTGTGGCTCCTCCATCTGGCCTCTGGGGCTATAGCAGAACACGTCCAATTCCTCTCCCTAGCACCACACCCTGTCCATTTAGACACAAAGAAGAACATGGGAAGTGTTGTTTCTCTTTTTCCTGGCTCCCAAATTCACCTTGTTTCTATCTTGGGGACCCTTTCCTGACTGCTCTGACTCAGCATCATTCTGACCTCCACTAGCCCTTACAGTCTAGACTGTATCACCTAGCCCAGCATACTATTCTCACAGTCCCCATGACCTCTTCCCTCTTCTATTTCCTCACTTATTTACTTCATTTCCACCTGTTGAAATCTTTTTTGTATTTTTCAAGAACCAGCCGTGTTCTCTATCCTGCTTTGAGCCATCCCTTCTTCTATTCATCTCACCCTTCCCAGCTGGAAGCATCATCATCATCATCGTGTAATGACTGTTAGAAATTATCTAGTCCAACACCTTCATTAATAAATATAATACTAGCATATATATAGGACTTTAATGTTTGCAAAGTGCTTTGTAAATATCATCTCATTTAATCTTCATAAGAACCCTGGGAAGTAGGTGCTATTATTCCCCCTCTCCTCTGCCTGCCTTGGTTTCCTGAACTGTAAAATGGGGGTGATAATATAACCTACCTCCCAGGGTTATTATAAAGATCAAGTGAGATATTTGTAAAGTACTTGGCACAGTGTAGGTGCTTAAGACATCCTTGTTTCTCTCTTTCCTTCCTTTACAAATGAGGAAACTGAGGTAGACAAAGGTGAAGTGATTTGTCCAGGGTCACAAAGCATTACCAGTCTGCGGCAAAATTTGAACTTAGTTCTTCCTGATTCTAGTTTCAGCACTCTACTCACTGCACCACCTCGTTGCCTCTAATGAAGCAATCAAGACCCAGAAATATAAAGTGACTTTTGCAATGTCACACAGGCAGTGGCAGAACAAGGATTTGAACCTGGGTCTCCTGACCCTCAATTCAGTGCTCTTTTCTGTTCTCCTCACTGGCTCCTCCACCATCAGAACTCTGAGAACACTTTATTTGTATATTTCCTGTGCACTTATCATAATTTAATTTCTATTATAATTATCTGCACATACATCTTATCCCTCTACTAGACTGAGACCCCTGTGACAGTAAGGGCTCTGTTTTGGTTCATGTTGACATCATCCACAAAGCATACTAACATGAGGATTTACATAGAGTCAATTCTTTCATCTATCCATCTATCTGTCTGTAACTTATTTGCTTATTTGTTTGTTTATTCATACATTCATTCAGTCATTTATTCTTCCATTCATTTATTCATGCATCCATTTATTTATATATCTATCCATCTATCATCTGTTTATTTGTTTAACCATGCATTCATTCATTTCATTCATTCACTCATTCATTCATTCACACATCCATTTATTTATGTATTTATTTTAAATAGTTCTCAATAAGCAATTTTTGAATTAAGGCACTTAAAGAGTATCATATGCTGTTCTTTAATCATTTCCTATATATTGAGCTTATTTATTTAAATCTTTGACCATAAAAAAACCACATTATTTCCCTCTCTTTAAAAGCACCTTGGCATAGTGGGAAGAGCACTGAAGGTGGAGTCAGGACACCTTGATTCCAATCCCAGCTCTTACCCAACCCATGTGGCTATGAGTGAATCAACTCATCATGATGAGATCCATTTTTTTCTCATTTGGTTAAATGGAGGTGGTAATAGCTGGATGATCTGCCTCACTGAGTTGTTTTGAAGAAAGCACTTTTTGAATCTGAAGGTGCTATAGAAATGTGAGCCCTTATTATTCTCATGTTCCTCACAGTGTCTAAAGCAGGGGCTCTTAACATTGTTGTGTGTATCATGAGTTCCTTTGTCAATCTGGTGAAACCTAGGGACTCATTTTTAGAAGAATGATCTTATATACATTAAATAAATGCACAGAATTACAAGGAAAACTAGTTGTAATGAAATACAATTATTAAAAACAATTTGTTTACATTCCCTAGGATAAGAACGTCTGGCCTAAGGACATGGCTTTGGGTGTACCTAATATATATATATATATATATATATATATATATATATACACACACACACACACACACACACACACACACACACACACACACACACATATATATCTTGCATATAGATTATAAATATAGATTATGTGTTTATATGTAAATGTATTTGAATTTTAAAATATATATTTAAATAAGAGAGAACACTTATGGACTACGGGATTAATAAATATTTATTGGAAGATGCTTCACCGCTAATAGCAATAACAAACGGTTATTGAACACCTAGTAGGGGTAAGACACTGGGCCAGGCATAGAGGATTCAAGAAGATATTATATATAAAACATAGGCTCTGCCTTTATAATCAAGTTGAGAAAACAAGATATGTTTAGAAAATGCTTAATAAAGAGGCAAAAAAGTGAAGGGGGGCAGAGCTCAATGAGTAAAAGGAGGAAGTGTTGGTCCCATCTGGTCAGACCCCATTTGGGTTACCAGGTTCAATTCTAGACAACACACTTTGAGAAGAACGTTGACAAATGAGGAAGTGTACAGATGAGCATAACCAGGATATTCCAAAATCTGTAAATCACCTGATAGGAATACAGACTTGGGGAACACCAAAAAGTTGGTCTAGAAAATAGCAGATCTAAATCTTAAATCTAAATCAGAGCAAGAAAAATTGCTGTCTGCAGTCATTACAAAAGAAGGCTCATTTTAGAAAAAAGACTAGACTCATTCTGTTTGCCCAAGAAGACAGAGCAAGCAACAGTGGGTAGGAGTTGTACGGGGGGGGATTTTGGCTTGATATAAGATAAAATGTCCTTTCTAACGCTGGACAAGGCTGCTTCAGAAGGTGGCAAATTCTCCGTAACTGAAGGTCCTTTTAAGCGGGGGCTAGATGACCACTTGTTAGGGATATTTTTGAAGGTATTTCTGGTTAGGTACAGGTTGGCCAAATAAGGAGTTTTGAGCTCAAATAGAAATGGGGCTACCAATCTATACATGAGGTTCCTTGTGGGCCATATATTGACTTAGTTTTAAAATGTGATTTAATCTGTTTTATTGTGTTTTTATTTATTTTGCTAAATATCTCCCAATTACATTTTAATCTGGTTTGGGTATGCTTCTGGCCATATGCAGCCCATGGGCGATGGACTTAACACCACTGGACCAGATGACCTCTCACTCCCTTCTCCCAACTTTGAGATTTGATGATTCTTCCCATTTTTTCTCCTCCTCCAAATCATGGAGGTTGAAATATGTATTCTGTAAAATAATCTAACACTGGGGCTCAGAGATGTTATGTCTCACCAAGGGTTACCAGAGTGACAGTGGAGCAAAAAAACAGATGATGAAAATAAATAATTCACTGATTACACCAAAAATAATTATAATCTTACCACAGAATCCATTAAGGGAAAAACAGAATTAGCCTGGAAAAGCTGTTACATATTCTCCCCACTGAAAAGCAATTTGTTATAACATAGATATGAAAAAATAATTTTGGAAATGTAATATGAGGTCGCATAAACAGCATGGCACCTTGAAAAGAACATTGGGCAGGAAATACGATTTGGGCTCTCTTCCTGGCTATACCTCCAACAGACTGTATTATGTTGGGCAAGTGACTATACCTCTCTAGGCCTAACACCTCATTTAGAAAATAAAAGAATACATTGCATCTCAAAAACTTATGATTCCTAAACATTTAGAAGACAGAACTAAAAAAAAAAAATCAATAATTCAGTTAAAATTTCTTCACACCTCTGACTTTAATAGAATTAGCCACTGAGAGATCATTCTTATTGTTGTCGTCTGTATCATTGTTTCTTTTCCCTTTTTGAGGCTTGGAATTTCTTTCCAAACCAGTAACATGGAGCAATTATGTTTCAGAATTTGTTCAGCGAGGTAAGGACCTAATCAAGGCTTCTCTGGCTTGCCGGGAGGCGATGATCGAAAAGATGACATTGGCTCACAAAGAAGAGAGAGTATGCCTCCTTGGAAAAACACAAAAGGTGACCAACCCTGAGGAGGTACTTAAGGTAATGTCCTCCTAGTGACTTCTTGAAAAATTGTATTCATTGTCAATCAAGCCACACGATAGCCTCACCAACCTAGATCAGTTGGGGCCATGGGCAATCAAGAATGACAACCCCCTGACAGGGCCACCAACATGTGTCCGGACCTCCTTTCATTATTTGTTGACAGCTGAACACTCGACGGAATAATGGGCGTGCTGTGTTCTTTAGAGTTTCCATGGAATAGAGAGTATGCACCCCAACAAAATAAACTTACCCAATTGTATAAAATGAGTCTCAAAGCATTTAGGATGGCATCCAGTCACTTGTACTTTTTCAGTTAAAATATATAGGGATATTTAACAAAATATTTAACAAAATAAATTAATTAATAATTTTTAAAAATTAAATTAAAGAACTTGAAAGTCAGAAGACCTGGGTTTAAGAGCCACTTACGAGGTTTGGAACCTTAGGTGAGCTTTTTTTTTCCTCATTAAAATGAGGGATTTGAACTAAATAATTGACAAGGTTCCTTCCAGCCCTAACATTCTATGATCTGAGGTCTGTTCTATGTGACAGTCTATGCTGTTCAGTCTCTTCCAGTACTAAAATTCTTTGTTCTAAGATCCCTTTCAACTCTGACGTACTATTATTCTATGACCTACCTTGCACCCATTATGCCAGTCAGTCAATAAATAATTATTAAGCTCCTTCTATGTGCCAGGCACTGTGTTAACTCCTAGGTATACAAAGAAGGCAAAAGAAAGACCTCTGATATCGCGGATATCATCATAGTCAAATGGGGGAGACAATTCACAAACAACTATGTATAAACAAGCTATTTACAGGATAGATTGGAAATAATTAACACAGCGAAGGAACTGGAATTAAGGGGAATCGGGAAAGGCTTGTCTACTTAGAAAGTAGGATTTTATTTGGGACTTAGAAAGAAGCCAGTGAAGTCAGGAGGCAAAGATGAGGAAGAAGTGCATTCCAGGCTTGGAGGACAGCCAATGACCTAGAGTAACTCAGCCATCTCCTCAAAGGAGGAGCTTGAAGTTAGACAATTCTACTTTTATCAATGCTAGAGTCACCGATCTATGTCTGGGAGCGCCAAGATCACACAATACATGCTTCTTCCTATAAAGTGTCCAATATAGTTACACCTGGGGTTGAGATACAGCTTAATCCCATTGAAGTCACAAGGAAGGGGACTGGTCCTGCTATTTCTCTGATAAAGAAACTCCAGGTGAGGAAATTTCCATCCACCAATGGAGACTGGCAACTTCTTTTCAACTTACAGGCTTAGAGATTGCCTGAAGTGATCTCTAACTTTGCTCAGCCGTATTCTTGACGCCTCCTTATGTGTGGCTAGGAAGGTAGTTAAAATCTAGGTTCTTAGTAAATAGTCAAATTGATTCCAGCCATCTTGATAAGATGGCATAATTGTTATAAAGTACACTGGATTAAATTGTTGTAAAGTACAAGAGACGTGGCTACAAGTCCCAGATCTTCTCTTTAACTGTCTAACCTTTGAAAAGTCACTTTCCCTACATGAGCCTCAGTTTCCTTATCTGCTAAATGGGGGAAAGGGCACTGTGGATTAGATCACAGGTATCAAATACATGACCCACAATACTCCCAAGTACAGCCCAAATTCTAATGAAATATAATTGGGAAATGTTTAACAAAATTAATTAATAAAAAAGAAATATAAAAATGCATGAATAAGTCAATATGCAGCCCACAGGGATTGTTATGTATGATTTAGTGGTTCATTTCTATTTTAGTTTGACGTTACTGGATCAGATCACCTCTGAGATCCTTTCTATTCCAAAATCTTATAATCCTATGATCCTGTGAAGTGAAATTGGTTATTTTGCCTGTCATTGTCTCCAAGTACCACTCTGCCTTCTCTCAGGCTGCTCTCCTCATGTGAGAGAGGTCAGCCCGAATGGCAAAGAGCCTTTGAAGGAAGTAGGGATGTTTACTTCAGAGAAGAAAGTAGTCAGGGGACATAAGAGCTATCTTCGAGTATGTGAAGGGTTGATTAGATTTGTTCTGTGTAGCCTCAGAAGTCCAAGGCAGTAACAGCTACAGAGAGATAAGTGTAGGAAAAACCTCCTAACAATTAGAGATATCCAGCAGAACTGACTGCTTCTCAAGGTGGTGAGCTCCCCCTCACTCAAGGTCTTCAAGCAGAGATTATCTGATCTTTTGTTGGGTATGTTGTAAAGGAGATTCTTCCCCAGAGGTATAACTTGGACTAGATGGCTAACGAGGGACTTTCTGACCATAGTTCTATGATACGATGACTCAGACTCCCATTCCTGTTCCCTGACTTCTCCATTCCTTACTGCAAAAAGATGTTAAGACTTTTTCAAACCCAAAGTGTCTTCCTTAATACTTGATCAATATCAGAGTGTGGAATTTAGCCTCCCTCCCCTAATAACCAAGTACTGCTTATAGCAAGATGGAGCATGGCGTGCTGAAAGCACCGCTACTTTGATAATTGCTGGCATGCCGCTGACCTCCTGAGTTATTTTTAAATCCATCCTTCACTTTCAAGAGCAAAAATAATGTAAGAGAATCATGACTAGCCCCAAGAACACTCACTTAAAGTACTTGTTTGTTCCCTGACCCCCCCTGCACATACACCTCAAATATTCTAACATCTTAAGTTTTAAAACATGATTCGATTATAGTTAAAGCAAATAAACTCTGTGTATTCAATGCAGATTTACTCTCAGGTCCCCGTCCTCCTTTTGAAATTTTCCTGTTGGTGCTACAGTGGCTGGTTTGTATTTTCATTTGGGGAGTGAGCTAATGCAATGACTATACCTCAGCATTAAAGCTCCCTTTGCCTATCACAAGGTCTCAAGTAAACCTGGCCTTTGTAGGGCAAGAATTCAGATTAGCAATTGTTTATTGACCTTGTGAAAGAAAATTGGGTTATATCATCATGTTTTATTTATCTGTGGTGATGGTTTGGGGGTCTTCAAAGCATAGCAGTCAAACCTGGAAGGGACATAGAAAAATAAAATATCATTTGGAAGGGCTAAAAGGCTCTTCTAACAAAGAACAGATAGTATTGGTGCTAGAAGGATAATGCCTAAACTGAACTGCAGGGGATCATCTAACATACAACATCAACTATGAGAGCACCGGGAACCTGTTAACATACACTATAAAAAGTAGAATTAAAAGGGACCTTGTAACATACAACCCAGGATATTGGATCTTAAAGAAGAATCCCTGGAATATCAGAGCTGGAGGGGCCCTTTGAGATCATCTAGTTCAATGCTTTCATTTTACACATGAAGTGACAAACCAAAGGTCATACAGGTAGTAAACAGCAGACCTAGATCTTAAACCCAGGAGCTCAGAATCTGCATTCAGTGCTCTATCTGATGTACCATCAGGGCCATCTCCAGTTTTCCTGATCTGTGTCTTGCCACTGGACCCAGATGTCTCCAGAGGAAAATGTGAGGCTGGTGATTTTGCACAGTCCTCTCTCAATTAAATCCAATTCACTTGCAAGTCATGGCGTCATCTTTCTGGTGTAGTGGTCCTCTTTGAGAACTAAGGACAAACAACAATGATGTACCATGTTGTCTGTCCTCCCAAAGGTAATACAATTATTCTTCTAAAGTAATGACTAGACTTTGGAGTAATATTTGGAACCCACAGAAAGGCAAATTTGGGCTTTAAAGAAGGATTTTTTTTAATTGATTAGAGTTCTCCAAAAGTGCGATGGCCTGCCTAAGGAGATAAGTCTTCAAGCAAAGGCTGAATGGCTACTTGTTTTTTATGCTGCAAAAGGGATTTGTATTCAGATATGGGTTGGACTAGATGACCCTTGAGGTCCGTGGCCACTTAACAATTCTGTGAATATTTGCAGAGAAGCCAGCTTGAGGAATAGAGACAAATTTCTTATTTTTAAGGGAATCAGCAGCAGGAGTGAAATCTGGAGACAGGCAATAATAATTATCATTCTCATTTCTATGATGTTTTAAGCTTACAAAACCACTTTTGTTATGACATACCTGTGCACAAGATCGTTCAAATAGAATTCTTTCAATTTTGCAGAAATTTTACTATGAAATTGAGTCAAATGATTTGACCATGATCATACATGGTTAGTCAACATTGGAACTAGAATTTGAACCACCTAACTCCACACTCTCATTGTACGACATGATATTCAAAAGTTTTCTCTCCAGAACATTGGGAAATAGACATAGGAATCAGAGGCATATTCATTCCTAACCAGACTTTGCAAGTGTGAATACCGTTGGATGGACTTTTAATGACCTATTGTTCCCTTCTCCTTGTGGTTCTAAAAAAGTTCTTTCAGTTTATCCCTGCTACCCAGCTGAAACCTGACAGTTCTTAGAGCCAAAGATGAATGTGTGTAGTTTAGAGAAGTATTGTGTAAATGTTTTGCAGTCTTGGAAAAAGAAGCCTATGAGAAAAAAACAAACAAACAATGCCATATTTCTGAAATTGAAAACTGTTTCGAGTGTGTGTTTGTTTGTTTTTTTAACCAGGAATCTACTTTTATATTAATTTTAGGCTTATCATGAAGTCCTGGAAAAGCAGAGATTAACTCGTTATGATCTCGAAGAGGAGGATGACTTTAAAACTACAGAAGCAGTCACTGATCTGTGCCAGGTAAATTTGTGACATTAGGGAAAATTGTTTGAATTCATATTCATGTGACACCAATATTCTTCCCTTCTCCCCCCTAAAATTCTTTTAAGAGAAGGCAATGTGGTGAAGTGGGAAGTGCTTAAGGCTTGGATTCAGGGAGACGTAGATTGAAGTCTCAGTTTTTGACATATTTTTAGCTGTGTGGCCTCACGGGAAAGTCACATAACCTCTCTGAACCTCAGCATCATCATACTCATAGATTAGTAATGCTTCTGTTCCATGCCTCCTAGGGTTGCAATGAGGAGAATGCTTTTTAATGTAAAGTTTTTTTTTAAAGGAAATACCAAAAGAACAGAGTAATCACTAACTCTAGCCAGATAATAGAAAAAGTGAATGGGTATGGAAGCATAACATGTAATAGAAATGGGAGATGCTGATGATTCTAATGATGAGTACATCAATGGCACCCAGAGACGTGAAAATGTCAGTGTTTCTTATACTTTCTTTCATGTTGTTAGGCTCTTAAGTCTCAGCTCTACTCATAAAAAGCGGAAACTTTTTTTTCCTTGGAATGCCCAGTGAGGTCAGTAATGAATCATACAGGTTTCCATGACTCCAGGCCAGACTGAAGATCTCTTGAGTGTCTTATATTCTATATCTGGTTCCAACCAGTCTTGTTATAAAATACCTTCCCAAACTGATTTCACATTACTTCTCCTTACATAGTCTATGTCCTGGCGTATGCTGTTAAGTTTTCAATAACCAGCACTCCAGGAAAAAAAAATATACATATGATATACATCTAATTTTAATCCACATTATTAACATTTTTCTCTATCACTTTACTTAAGTCTGGAAATCAAGAAACCAATATATCAAGCCCTGATTTGTGGCATTTGCTGATTTCCCAGGCGTAAATCCTCAAACTGAAAATTTAATTACTGTCTTCCTGAGCCTGTTTGACCTGGCTGCAGTACATCCTTACTACATTCCAGATAAACTAGCCTGTTTATTGTTTCCTATACACAGCCTTTGCCCAGGTTATTCCTATGCTTAGTATATTTTTTTTCCTTAAAAAATTATCTTGGAACACTTAGCTCCTATCAAGACTTAGCTCCAAGGTCTCACAGCTAGTAAGTGTCTGAGGCTGGATTTAAACTCAGATCCTTCTGACTCCAGGGCTGGTGCTCTATCCCCTGCACCACCCAGCTTCTCTTTATTATTTCCCAAGATCTATGATTCATCACAGAGTAAGTATGCCTTCCTCTGCTACATTTCACATTTTCTCTATACACCATCTTTATGAAGAACTGTGGTGAACAAAGAAATCATTACCCACTGACCAACTCTCTGGTGATGAGTTTTTACAAAGCAGGTAAGGCTAATCCTTTAGAAATAGGCATTTAGTCCTTGAACCTTTCTAGCTCTGCCAGCTTGGTAGGACCTTCCAGAGCTTGCATTTCATAGACATAGACATCAAGAACCCAGAATCCCCTCCATAGCACCATAAGTTATGAAAGTAGTAATGCTGATTGACATTCATGTGTATGAAACTGTAAATCATCAGTGAGGTAAACAAGGCAATGGTTATCATACCAATTTTATAAAGGAGGTAACTGAGGTGGTACCATTAAGGGAAATGGGCATTTACCTAGGGACTGAGATATTCAAGACTCTGTTCTTAGACTTCTTATTCCAAGTCCTCTCTTCTTTCCAATGCACCAAACTGCCTCTCTGAAACTTTGTTTTCATATAAAATGCATATTTTAACATAAAAAGAGGAATACAGAAAGTACCACATGTGAGTGAGTGATGGATTACGTCCATCTATATATAGGAAGAAGGTATTTGGAAATACACTTTATAAGAGCAAGGTGTTGATGTGAAAAGAAGAAACAAGGTGTACTTGCATGTTTGTACATCTACGTAGGTGTCTTGTGGGAAGCGTGTACAAAAGCATGAGTCAACTTGTCTACTCAAATTAGACTTGACATGTTTGTTTGGACCCGTTTTGTCATTTCATTGGAAGCCCTTAGGGAACTCAAAATTTGTTTCTTCTGCATGCCAGATTGTGGAAATCATCAGCTTTACTTAACTCTTTTGAAAGGGGATGCTGACTACCCACCTTTCATCTATTTTGAGTCATAAAAGATATAATAGAGCTATGAATGAAAACCATTTTTGAAGCTCTTGCTGTATGCAAACACTGTGCTAAGGTCTAAGGATATGGATAGAAAAGAGTCAGTCCCTGTTCTCAAGGTGCCCACATTTCAGTAGAGGAGATAACATGTGTAAAATGAGTCAGTTGCAAGGTAGATTGAAAGGCCCAGTGGTCCTTGGGTCCTATGTAATAGCAAAGTGGTTGGTCATTCAACTTCTTTAATATCATCTCTATTGATAAAGTGATTATGATTTTGGACATTTCACAGTGTCACTACCCAAGGACGTGGGTAGTACTTTCTTTTCTGGGTCTTCAATAGTTATGGCTGATGAGTAGGTAGGGAATGCAGCACCTGTACGTACAGTGGCCATATTGGGTTTCCAAAGAGGTAGATCCCCTCTATGATGGAATAAGGGACTGGCCTGAGGAGCACCATTATGCCCAAGTCTCTTGCGAGCCAGGTCCTGGGCTTTCTCTACAAGGGAGGGAGATGAACCCCATGAGGCAACCCAGAGTTGTTCAGGGTTAGGCCGTGACAAGATATTCTCTGGCAGGTCCTTATCTATAATGGAAAAGGATTTGGTGACAGCCCTGATAATGGACCCTGTCGATGTCATCTGAGGACCAGTCTTAGCTCATGCACAAAGGTCCAGTACCAGAGACTTGGCGACCAAGTGATGAAATTTTTGACCTGAACAACTCAGCAAACTGTCCCCCCATGTGGAGTGGGGAAGAGGAGAAGCTGCTATCTTTCAGTACAGGGAAGATCTATCTGTCCCTTCCCTATTTTGTGGACAAGGAAACTGAGGGCCAGGGAGAAGAAGTGACTTGCCCCAAGTCATAGTGAGCCAGGACTAGATACAGGTCATCAGCCTTCTGGTCCTGTTCCAGCTCTGCTGCCTTGGACTGCCTTGCCTTCTAGATGGCATAAAGGTCCGTGACGTGGCTGTGTCCATGTCACCTACTGTGTCAGTAAAAGCACCACCGCCGGCACCCCCAACAGATTACAGTTAGAGGCTACATCATGATTACAAAATACTTTACTCATAGTGTTTCATTTGATCTTCACACTCACCTTATGAGGCAAATATTAGTAATTTCTTCAGTAGGAAATGAGGCTCAGGTACCTGCCATAGTCAAACAGTGTATTAGCCAGAGCTAAGGCACAGACATGGGATCTTCTGATCCCAGGGTCCGAGCTCTTTCTGCGACACCAAGCTGCCTCGTCTATAGTACGAATCATAGGAAACACAGGGTGGTGCACTACAAAAATCCATCTTGTACAAATGTGTCCCTTTACCCATTCCCCCAATCACGGAAGCTGGCATTTTTAAAACAAGGCTGCATCATAGGATAATGGCAGCTCCCTTGTGTCTGGTATACTGTGCCAGTTTATAGAATGTAACCCTGCAAGATGGGAAGTCCTCATATTGTGATCTCTGTCTTCATCTACAGATGAAGAAATGAAATGACCTATCTAAGACCATACCGCTAGGAAGGGTTAGAGTCAGGACATATACCCAGGTCTCCCAACTATCAATAATGTACTCCTACTACTATATCATCCATACTCTCAGAATTCTTTGGCCTACAGCAAAAGACACCTAGGTGGTACAGTGGTTAGAGTGCTTAACCTGAAGACTTGAGTTCAAATTTTGCCTCGGAAACTTACTTGCTGCGTGGCTCTGGGCAAGTCGCCTAACCTTTGTCTACCTCAGATCCTCATCTGTTAAAAGAGAATTGATAAATAGTATCTGCTCCCAAGGTTGTAATAGACACAAAATGAAATAATATTTGGTAAGCAGTTTACCAACCTTAAAGTGCTATATAAATTCTATCTATTGTTATAAAAAGGAACATTTTCTAAATGGTAACTTCATCGTTTTATAGTAGGTATTTTGACCATAAAACACTACCGCGGTCATTTGTGAGCTATATCCTTCCTGCACAAAGAGTCATTTTGACTGCAATCCTGTTAAGGTTTTTGATGGCTATTATTAAAGTCGAAAGGATGCTTTCAAAATAAGTTTGGAGTCATTGTCTTTGGTGAACCAACGGCCCTGAGACAACAGATTCTACTTCCAAACTTTGAAGTATCTGGGATGTTATTAGTGAGGGCTCTCCATCCTCAGGAGCAGGTTATAACTCACCCAGGCTTGCTTGTCCTGTGCCGTGCTTGTCCGTGTCCTTGCATAAACTTTCCAAAGAGGATCTTGGTTCAGCTTGTGCAAAGTTACCTCTTGAGTTCCAATCTATCACTGTCTATATCTTTGACATTGAAAATGAACATTGAGCTGAGACTGGAGTCAAATAGGGAGAAGGAAGCTACCTGGCTTACATTTGGAAACTTGGATAAAAATTATACTGAGGAAATAGAAGATGATGTGAGCGTAGGATGACTAATCTCTGTGTTGAGGATTCAGTTTAGTGACCAGAGCTTGATTATAAAGTGGGCATCACATTAGGTCCCTGCCTGGCTTTTGGTAGAGCAGTCTAAATGTGATGCAGTAAACATTCTTTATCATCAGAGGCACAGCCATCAGCAAAGGACTATTTCATCCACAACAGCTTGTGAAGGCCTGGACAGAAACTTTTATCTGCCTCAGTGAGAGAAACACCCAAGTCAGCCGAATCATAAATTAGCTTTTGGAGAACCGAAATATTAAACATTCAATAACCACCCCCCCCAAAAAAAACAGGGGAAGGTCGCTAGCAGGACATATTGTTGTTATTGTTTGTCCTTCATTCTCGAAGAGGACCATGACATCAGGGAGATGATGCTGTGACTTGCAAATAAATTGAATTTCAGTGAGGGAGGGCTGTGCAAAGTCACCAGCTTTACTTTTTCCTCTGGAGCCAT